AGTTACTCTAAATCGATCCAAGCCATAGCTGCACAAAATGTTATAAGGACTGACAAACAGTTCTTCTAATCTTTGTGGAAATATATGAGTTTCTGAAATTGGACTACCTATGATTCAGACTACGACAGAGCAGCTATGCGTGGAACCGTTTGAAATTTGAGCAGCGACCCAAGCATGTAGCTTGTGCCAGTTACTGGAAGGAGTACTGTATCGTTTGTGTGACCTCAAGTCACATGGTCGACGAACACACAACCCCAAATCACCCTTCAAACCCAAACCTTGCAGCTCAAAACCTGTGTTCCTCCTTAAGGATACTAGTCTCAGGATTTCAGCATAAGCATAGCCATGTTGGTGTAACAGCCATGCTTGGCCCCAATGCAGTTTGTTGCTAGCTGCCGCTCTTTGTGTACCACATTTTAAGTCCTGAGGGCAGCCAGTATCGCTGGTACCGACATTACTTCATGATTAGTGCGAGCATTTCCTTGAAAGTCTATAGGAACCAAATCATTAGTGCGGGCGTGAGCCATCCTGCATCCATATGTAGTAGCTCAAGTAGCCAGGAGCTTATTCCCTTACTAAATTAAGTCGGCGTCTACTGCTGTCTATTTAAATAAGTAGGAGCGGGCTTTGAACAAATTGAAAACATACAATTCAACAAATGGTTTGTGAATGTTTGCGGGTCAAGAAAGTCACATTGGTTTCTCTGATCTGGTCACAGAGTCCTCTTGCCCGCTCCCGCACCTGCCGCGCACTCGAGTGAGGCTGATCTTCTCATCCGACTGCGGCCCCTGCATACGAAGAATGGGACCCATCCGACCGCGAAACCGGGCCATACCGAGCGAGGTGGGCCAAACTGCCGTTGACGTCCAAGCAAACACATGCAAAGATACCAAGGCCTGTGCGAAAACTTGAGGGTGCCGAGCTGGGTCGGTGCTCTTGTTCCTTACTTGATGTTGAAGAAGCTCAAAAGCCTGACTTTGCTCCCGGCTTCAATCTCCTGCTGGCTCTGCAAAGTAGCAGCAAGACACGCTCTTCCTCCTTCCCTACCTTTTTCATAAATATCATCGCCGGCAAAGCGAAGCAATGCTCCATAATGCTCCCTACAGTGAGATATGCTCAAATTCTGGTAGACCATGGTAGACCTGCCAATACTGCTTTGTTGAAGCTTGCAGGCAATGTAGCGAATGTAGGGATTGTCTTCTCCCCCATGAACCAAAGAGTTTCTCATCGCCCAAAGCATCAGGCTGGTGAACAGCTTGCTCAAGTCTCTCACTCACCGTGACCTTCTTGTTTGGATGTCATCAAATGACCCCGGAACCTGAGTCTACAAGTACAAGAATTTCTCCCAGGTCTGAAGACCGTGAACCCCCTTTGGGTGGATGGTTATTTTCCAAAACCCCCCATAGTACTGTGGGCGGAAACAGTGGCTCTGACATGTAACAACCCATTCAAAGCAAAAGTGCTCTACAGATCCCAACAGTCCAACACCAACTTAGGCCATGCAAAGCAAGGATCTGCTTATTCAAACTACTCGATCTCGAGCCCACTGACCCACATCGGCACCCAGGGGCTCCAGCCTCGAGGATCTCAAAGATCTCATCCACGTCGGCCTGGTTCGGCGGATGAAATCGCTGGATGGTTCGGAGCTTGGAACACTGAACCGAAAAAAAGTGCTTTTCCGTGCCATAAAGCAAAAGGAACAAATAAAGTTATGTAAAGAGCCTTTTGAAATGCAAGGGGCAATTGACACCTGGACACCCGTTTGAGATCCTTTGAGAGTGGTTTTGGTACCCCTTCCTCATTCAAGGGATCAAGCACAAACTAAACCTCACGGCACGCGATACCGCCACAAGAAAGATAGAGACATAACTTGACACCGTCACATGCTGGTACAGAAAGGGCAAGCACTGCGATGTGCTCATCCTGGCAACCTACTCAACTTGATCAGGAAGTTGTGCAAGGAAGTCAAACAATACCAGCAAGCAGCCAAGGAACAGAACATCAAAACAGGCTGAAACACCGGAGTGTAGTTTGGAAGTTTGGAGTTGAAGGTTCCTTCATTGAAACTGCATGGCGGCGTAGGTCCCTTCAGCTCCAAGGCCTGCCCAATCCCGTTTTGTAGCAGCTCTCCACCCAAGCAAGCGTGCGCAGTGTCGGGGTTGCAGATCGGACTCAGTGATTGTTGAGCAAAGCCACGTCTCAGTGGTTGTTGAGCAGTCGCCAACTGAGCCACACTGCGTTGCAAAGCGGTCCAATGCTGAGACACTTTGACGCTTTCCAACAAGGTGTAAGTTCCAAACAGTGCAGCAGTGTCTCGCACCGCATCCATACACTAGGGCAAGTATAGCAGTCTGAGTCATCTAATTTCTCCCCAAGCAAAAACGGCCCTTTCGTGGCATCAACACTGCTTCAGTGCTCAAACTGCACAGTAGGCCGCCGTCGTCGGGTGAAAGCCCTCATACTCTAGAGACCTCTGTGGATCCTTCAAGCCTGGCCGAGGACTTGATAAGACTTATAAGCACTCCTCGGACAAATGACCCCTGAGGACAGTTGTGTTTGGGTCCCCCAACAAGTGGATTTTTTTGATAATAATCAATTGCACTGGAAGAACACATCTCAACTGGGAAGAACCCGATGTCATGCTTTGACCGTCATATCGATGGAATCCGCTCGTGTCTCTGGCTGAGGGGGTTGTCCACCTCCGGCAGGTTGATACGTGGTTTCTCTATCCCATCCGGTGCGCTTCCCCTCCGACCACCAGGGTAGTGCTCATCCAGCCACGCGAAAAAGGTTCCACCAACCCAACACCACCATCTCGCCCTGCCGCCTTTCGGATGGTCTTCGCCTACAAGGGCACGACGTTCCGAATGAACCCGCAAGGGTGAGCAAAGGTGACAGCAACAAAAATGTGAAGCAAAGCAAGGTTCCTGCAATTTGCTTCACAAATAGCTTCTATCTCTATCTATGTGTATCTGTACCAGTTTCGCCGAAAGAGTGGAGTTGTCTTCACCTCCCGACCGCATTTTGGTTGGAAACCGTCTTCCCAGTGCTGGACAGACCAAACTGGAGTGCCAACCGTTTCTCAACCTATGTCCCATGGGATGGTGTGTAGTCTTTCTCTCCCTCTTCAGCTGCAGCGGATGGGATTGATTCAAACATTGATTCTTTTGAATGTTATTTATTTATTTGAACTGTTACATAGTGGAATATGGTCTTTCTGAGTGCAAGTTCGTTGGTCTTTTTGGCCCGCAATATCTGCATTTATCATCTCAAAGGTCAAAAGCGTGTTGGAGGAACAATGTATATATACTTGGATGTGGGGAAAAGGCGGGGTGTTCAAATGACCCAGGGAACATTTGAACCTCCACCTCAAAGTCTAAAAGTGTTTTCAAGCAGGTGCAGCCCACCAAGAATGAAACAATCAGGCAGAACAACTTGCAAAGACGGCGTTTCTTTTGTGTTAAGATTGATGCACTCTACCAAGGCCGTGTGTTGGACACGGGTGGACAAGCCAAAACTGTTTTCTCTGTGAAGACCTAGGCGAGTTCTTGCTTTTTGTTGCTACCCAAAGAGTGAAGCTACTTCTTCAATATTGAGTTGAATGAAGTGCAGCAAAAGAAGGTCCTGATGAGGATCCCAATAACTAGGGATCCGGGATGAGGCTCCAACAGGGACTTTCTTCTTGCCTGAAAATGACTCAGAATCACTGGTCGCGGAAAGTGACTACAACCGTCCATCGTTTCGTCGTTGGCTCCATCGTCTCTTTGACTCGCGTGCCTTGCTAATCTCGAACTCCGTGGTGATGGCAATGGCCTTTGGGATCAGGGTTTATTATGGGGCTGCAGGATTTGTGACATGCCCTTCTAAAGGAAAGTCGTCCGAACAATTAGAAGGAAGCCAGAACATGTCGCCTAGATTGGTCCGGTCCTGAAGATTCTTTGGCATAGAAAAAGTACATCCCGATCATATCGGATTCTTCTGCACAAATCACCTAGACTCCGTTTCCAGTGGAGAACAACTCGCAGGGCGGCCGTGAGCACCACGTAGTACTTCTGCACGAAGCCTTGGAAAGCGCGCTTCCCAATGGGCCCGGCCTGGCCGAACGCGCGATGCGCACGCGCTGTTTTCCTCCGACCGCCCAGTTCGGGCATCCGTCGAATGGGGGGATGCATCTATGTCTTTGGCCAGGTGGATTAAGGGATGCACCGACCCGGAAGCCAAAGATTACACAGGAAGGAAAGGCCCTGGGCTTCAGCAATTGAGGGATCCCAGTCTTGAGATGAACTCCAATGTACACTGCATGGGAAGGCCCGAAGGCCCAAACTCGGCCAAGTTCAGCTAGCAAAGAGTCCAAGCACATTCTGTGGTCAGGTGGGCAGAAGTGCCCAAAAGCTATGGGCTGGCGACTGTGTCCAGTGAAAGTTAGCTATGAACACTACTAATTAGCCTTACTAGCCCCTTAACCCCCCCAGCAAACGGCTAGAAACGATCCATGTTCGATCCTATCCCTCCTCGTTGCCATCCCCAGCGGAATCACTAACCTGATGGAGATGCAGCCATTGATGGGAGGCTCCGCCGGCGCGAGTGCGCACTGACAGGACGCGCTCTGCGCCTCGATCTTCCGGCAAATGAGCTTCGCATGCTCGGCAGGAAGATCTGCGTCCATGCTTGTTAGGCCTTAGTGGGACCCGCATCAAAGGGCCTAGCACGCCCCACAAGCAGTTAACTTGCAACACTTGTATTTCAGTTGGTGGGATATACGCCTTGCCCCAATATTGAGGCTGCGCTATACCACCCCGAAACGCAATTGCATGATGACTTTAGTGTACGCGTGCTTGGAGCAAATATCCCTCTCTCAGGCTTAAGGCTTTGTATTTTGATGAGCTCTAAACAAAAGCCCAAACTGAAAGGTCCATTGAGAACGGGGACATGTCGGCATACCCTTTCCTGCTACTATCCACAAACCAGGGGCTGTGCAAAGAGTCGAAATACTCTTCCATCGCTGGGCCTTCGGGCACTTGCAAAGAGCCTCGTGACTGATCTGGCCACCTCCACTCACAGCGGAGCAAAGCAGAGTAGGTCCATAAAGCTCTTAGATCGTTGATCCAAAAAAACATCCGTTTTGGCCTTTGGTTTTCACTCCATGTCCGCTTCAGTCGATCTTTGGGTTCCCCCGACACAATCTATTGTCGTGGGAGGTCAAAGGCAAGACATATGGCTTCTGTCCAGGTCTTGATCAATCCAATTCGACAAAAAGAAAATCCCCTAAGAGCCGAACATAGACCAGTGAATCCCCTGTTTTCCAAGAAAACTCTTGAACACATGTTCAAATTCATGAATCTATGTGGCAACCTCTAAACTCTATGCAGTAAATGTACCTGCAACACAACAACAAACTGTGCAGATAGCTTCCCGCTTCCCTTGTTGCAACACGAGGTGAATTGTCGCTCTGTGCCGTCACACTCTCCCCACCTGAACCAGCCAGGTCAGTGAAGAAAACATCGAAGTCTCCGCCCTTCTCCTGGACCTCGCTGCAGATGGTCCCAGATTGGTCCAGTCTGACAGGAGATACGTCTCGAAAATTTCTCCCTTCACGTATTGGCCCCTCTGGGTCGGTTTCAAGGACGCAGCCATGCCTTCGGGCCTTCTGGTTCTGCCTGTGGTGGAAGAACTCGTCACAACTGTCAAACACCACCACTATCACATGGGCACATGTATTTTAAAAGGGAGACCCCCAATCAATCAATGGGTTTTGGTCTATTTGCCTTCCAGGGGATCTTTTGGAGGTCTCGAGTCTCGCTCTTTTAATACACACCCACATTCGTTGTTCGTGCCAGTCGAACAGCTCCCTGCTTCCGCCCATGCTTTCCCAGGATACCAGAGCCGCTTCCAATATCTTCCAATTTGCAGGCGGGTCCCTCTTATTGGGGTAGATCCAATTCGATCCCTCTGGCATGGCAACAGGTAAAGGTCAACATACCCTCGAGACACTGATTGAGGTAGTTGCAATTCACTGTAACAGTGGATGATGATGGTATGGAGGGACTTTGACCAACACTGGTCAGGCTATACGAACTGTGCAGTGCTGCGGGATGTAGATCAGTTTTAACATGGTTTGACCAGAAACAAATCAAAGCCATCAAAGCCATCAGCATCACGCACTTATTATAGGTCATCTTAGACCCACAACATCCCACAACCATAAATAAAAATAATACACCACATATCACCACATCACATCCTCATGGGATCAATCAAAACACCATCCAAAACCCATCGACCTGCACCACGCCCTTGCGCCGCTCACCTGCTTCCGCAGTGCCACCGCGGCCCGTGCGGCGCCGCTCTCGGAGATCTTCGCGCACGCGGAGTTCACTGCCTGACGATCGTTCCATCCGGTACGGTCCATCCATTCGTTGTTTCTCAAGACTGTCTTCAGATGTCAGAGCATCTAGGAGCATCTAGGGAGCTGAAGGGATCTGCTTAAAGAGGAATCTTTTGGGAAAGCCAACCTTTTTCGAGCATGTGTTTGAATTGTTGCTTTGGAATCGCCAGTTTAAGAGAACCGATCGGGGGCTTAAATCAAATATGTTGGCGCGGCTGGCTGGGGATATGCAAGACTCGAAATAAATACCTAGTCTGCGGAAAAGCACTTCTTGCTGTTGTCTCCAACAAGAAGCACTGTTGAATAAAAAGATCTATTCTGAGAGAAATCTGGCAAGGAGCAGTATACAGTATAGTACCTGACAGGACCTTTTTGTGGCTAATCACCGAAGACTGCTGGGGGAATGAAGGGGACTCTCGCCTTAAAGAGATCATTCTGAATCTGCCTATCTACATTCAAGGTATCTCCAACTTCTGCCCTCTACAGAGTCCAAAGAGGCAGAACCTGCACACCGAAGGTTTCAGGATGGGAGTCGGCCTGCAGCGTTGTGTTGTTCTTCTTGACGAGCGTCTCAGCCTGGGAGCGTCTCAACCGGAACTCCGATGGTTTGTGGAGATCATAGAGATTTTGGCACGAATCCATCCCCAAGTAGTTTTGCCTAAAGATCTCATCTTAGAAAACACGTTGCCTTCAGCCTGCATGCGCACACCTATCCTCTTCAGCAACCTATCGTCTCTTCTCCAGATCGGCGTACGTTCCAGACCGAATCATGCCATCCAACCCCTTCTGTGCTGCCCACCTTGGTGTTGATCTGGAGCATCTGCTTCTTGGCCTGTTCTTCGCAAGCCAAACACGTCCGGCACATGCGCCCAGCTGTCATTATGGTATTGTCTGCTCAACATCCACACATAATAAGGTATGTTATGTCCTACAATACTAGGACATGTCGGTGTTTGACCTTGGAGATCCTTGGATTGGAGAGTGGTACAAAATGCATGTTGTGTGTGTGTGTTAGGAACAGATGAGCAAACATCTGATCTGCCTCGCGGATGTGCTCATGGCATTTAACAACGAAAAACAGCAGGTGCAAGTCATGAAAAAGTGTTTACGCGGACGGCTAAGCAAAGGGACACTTAATTGCTCAAAGCTTGTGTTCGACTGCTGGTGTTGCTGAGGAAGCAGGGACCCGATGCCGTCCGATGCCTGCCTCGGCCAATGGTCCCTTCCCCGCCTGCGAGGCAAGCGATGCAATTAGAGACTGTCCAGCCTTCCGAACATCCTCCCGTCTGGCAAGTAGCAGAGATATCCAAACTCAGAACATCTTGGATGGGCCCAAGCCAAGTGTGAAAACGCTCCTGAAAGCGCTCGTGTGAAAAGCCAAGCGCGCTCCGTTGGCTCAAAGGACTCGTGACTCCTGGAGCCCCGTTCATGGCTTCTTGTTCCTAGTAAGGCCAGGAGCCCCGAACGTAGCGTCCCTGCTTGGCCTTAATCTTCTTGCTCTCCTCCACGATGTGGCTTTTCATCTGCGGATGGAGGCTAGGACAAACCGGTCCGCCTCTGGGAGCCTCACCTGATCCCAGTGTGGCTGGTGGTTCTTGTTGATCTTCTTCGCCAGATGGGGTCAGTGTGCACCACTAGAACCACCAGATGAGGTGAGGTGAAATCCTTTTGCAGCGAATAATGGTACAAGCACAATGGCCAAAGATTCTGAGATGGCCCACAAATGAATGACCCACAGATTCTGGTGTTGACGTTCACGTTGCGTTCTTATGTTACAAGCTACGCTACACTACTACACACGTTTGACTTATATTATATAGGTGTTGCTTCCAGGAGAATGAAAATCATGTGACAACACACACAGTCCAGGCCTGCTCCCAGCTTTTCCCCGCTTTTCATAAAGAGGCGCCCGAAGGGGATTAGATACTGGCACCCATATTCTGCAATAAGTCTGATCATGCTTGTTTTGTTTGCTCCTATGTGGCAACAAGCATGAGCCCTGGCACAACACCCCCTGTCCAACCAAGCAGTATGATGGCTTTCTGGCTGGGGCTTGAACCATCTCCTAAAAGAGATTATATATTATATAATTAGATACATCTCTAGTATCTCTGCTCACTTCCCCTCATTATAGAAAACATTAGACGACCTTGCTCACAGGGAATCTACCTTTCACTCTATATACTTGGGAGACACTCTAAAGGAAAGGTGTGGTCTTGTAGATTGGCTGTAGATGGAGCACCATATACCGGATGCCTCTTTGGCAAATGCCAAAAACCACAGGGCTGACCATCCCATCATCGCCATCGCCTTCTGGAAGGCAGCAGCAGCTTCTGGCACCAATCTCTCCACTTCCTGCATGCATGTATAGATCTGTGACAAAGACATATGTGTGCGTTCATCTTACAAATTACTCATTCTATCTTGTTTGGGGTCAGTATGGATCAGTATACTGTAGATAAATACTGATACACACAGGACAACATGGGACAACCCCTGCCCTGAGGCCTGGCTCTACAAGTTCTGCGGCTCAAACGCATGCAGTGTCTCTCTGTTGAACATGTTGGCTCGCTCCACGGGCTCTGCATTCGGAGCCTTTTGGGTGCTTGAATGAGTGGGACTCACTGGGAGCGATGCCGCTGGGAGCTCCTCGGGCCCTCGGGCCCTCGTGGTTTCGTCCGATGTGTCAAGTCCGTCAAGATCCCTCCGCCGGCATGACATCACATCGACGGAATGTTCTACAAGCTCCTGAAGGGAAAGCACCCGAACCGACATGAGTCGTCTCTTTCCCAGAAACATGTCAAGCATACCATCCTAATAGCCCGCGTGCATGGCGGCACAAACAGGGTCCTGTTGGTGCTAGAGTCGCTGTCTTTGTGGTAACATAGATTTTTTGAAACTCATTACAAAGCCCAAGCTCCCTGTCCATCATTTGGACGCTGCTCATCACTCCGCTCATCACACCTGCTGGACGCTGCTCGGAGTGGCGAACTTGGCCAGCTCCGCTCCGCCCTCGCCCTGTCCGACCGGTCGGACGTGACCCGTGGCGGTCGGGTCCAAAGAACAAGCCGGTTAGACTCCTGGTGACTCTAGTTCTTGTTTCTAGTGACTCTAAATAGTGTTGTGGCACAAGGTCATTGGCTTTGACCAGTGCTTGGGGGATCAATGAATGCGTGAAGAAAGCAAACAAGACACATGTGGTGATATATATAATATGATCGCTCGAAGCAGATGATGAGTTTCACTTTAGAAGCATGGAACACATCGTACCGAGATGATTCACCCCTCTCTCTTGCGTTCGATCCGTCGCCTTGGCGGCGGCCAGCAGCGCCTCGGCGGCCGCAGTGACCTTGTTGCTTTGCTCCTTGGGTCGTGGAAGGCATGGAGGAAGGACGAGAGAGGAAAGAAAGAAGGAAAGGAAACCGAGGTGCTATCCCAAGCTCAAAGAAACAGTATCAATGTTGGAGTTGTGTGGGTTCAGCTCCTTCAGAGAGGGAGGTTTCGCAGGATTTGGATAAGTTGTGGGGATAAGGGCTAAGGGGTCGTAGGGGTCGTTTTCCATCGACTCCACCGGCGACCGCCGGCCCTGGAATCCTGCCCCCCCCAAGAGGCGTCCTTCGATGTGCTGCTTGGACCTCAAAATGTTTGTTGCGATACATCTTACTTTATGATCATTTTATGTTGGTATGCCCGGAAGCGGCCTCTCAATTCCCCCCCCCTCAGCCCCATTGGGGCTCCGGGCTTCCGCAGCCTCGAACTGGCCATTGGCCTCCTTCAGGATGGCCTCCGCCTCACGCCTTTCCTTGGCCTGGAACTGTTTGGATGTGGCAGCCCAACGACACCCCTCTGAGGCAGGATTTGAGGCAACCACCGACCACCCCTGACGTTAAAAGCGAAGGTTTTGGTGGAGAGAAGTTCCTGGTTACTTGTTGGAGTTTGAACCTGTTGAGTTGAGAGTATATAATATAAGGTGAACTTGTCCATCTACGAGGGAGCGACTGCTGAGCCAAGAAACACCATCCCAACACACCACGCACCGTCCAAAAACAGTCCATTTCAGCAATCTCGCTCAGCCCATCGAGTACATCAAAGGTCTTGGAAACCTTCCACAGGGTTCAAAAGCAGGTGTTTAGAGGAAAAAGGGCACCGCCTCTTGCCGATAATCATCTCATTTATCGTTGTTTTTATTGATAAACGGTATGTCTTCCTTTGAGAAGTTCAGCCACGCCGCATCAACCCAGCCATTGACCACAATTCCAACACCCACCAAAACCAAAGCCTCCCCCGCCGCCATCTCCCCGCACCTCGATGTGGGCGGTGCGCTCGGCGGCCTCGGCCTTGGCGAACTCCTTCTTGGCGTTGTTCACCTAGCGGCGCTCAGGCCTCTGAGAGAACCCCGCAAAGGTGAGGAGTGCAGGAACCGGAACTGTACCTTGTTCGGATGCTTTGCTTGGTCTTGGTGGGCACCCTAACGCGTTCCACTTGAGCCACAAAAAATCAGAAAAGTGAATTCCATCAACCAGCTGCAAGGTCAAACCTGCGTTCGTCGCCAGATCCCTTCGGAGTGCTTCGCACCTTCCCCTTGAGTTTCTGGATCTGCGCTGCGTATTCTTGCGCCTCGACTGTCCGTCGACGGACGGGACCGGTAGGTCGCTCAACAGTGACAATCACCTTCTGGAAGGCTCTAAGTCTAGTTTCAGGGTCCATCTAGATGAGTTTTCGGACATCTTCAAACGAATTCCTCAGGCTGCGTTCACCAGGACTCAAGCTGCACCTTTGGGTGTAAAGCCTGCACTGCAAAACAGGGTCAAATACATAATAGAGCCCTTGTGAGGGTTGTGTACCTCTAATGCAGGGTGCCACCAAAAACAGGCTGTGATGCCTCCATCTGCAATCAACAGGAGTGACAAGCTTTGGCAAAGTCAAACCAAGAGCATGAAGAACGACTGGTCCTATCTAGTCCACATGGGAGTGTGAATGGGTGTGAGACCTCTACCGTGGATTGGGAGTGAGTATGGTCTTGAACAATAGATATGGGAGGGAACCCAGCCCTAGCACTCGACCCCAAACAGTAGCTGGAGCTTGTACAACGAGTGTCTTGTCCAGATTGGGGCTCGCCTTCCATCTCTGGCTTCCTTTGATGAACCATCCATCCACCTGTTCGTCCATACTTTAGAGCACCATATTATGACCATCAACTGCAAAACACTGAGCACTAAGGTGTTCGGTCTTCGTACATTGTCCTCCACATGCATCCGTTGCAGCACAAAGTGTAGGAGTTCAAACCCAAACGCTTGGAGTGAACGATGCGGATGAGGCGATCTGATACACAATGTGATGGGTCTTGGACTATTCAAATGAGACTCACCCAAGGGACTATCTGATCAATGGCCCGTCTTTTCTACACTGTAATAGTCCACTCACAGGAGTCTCATCGTGATGCCGACGATCGTTGTCCATCCCCACCTTCGGTCTGAGCTTGGCAATCTCTGCTTTTGCCTCGCGAACGTGGACGGAAGGTGGCCCGGTGGCCCTCGAATGGCCCACGAAGCCGTTTGAACAAAAGCAACGACCAAACCGGTTTCTCGACGGAGTTCAGCAATATAGCAACAGAATCCAGAGACTGGTTTTCGGGGGGTTTTTGCTCATGGGAGTAGTGTTTGGATAAAACAATCCACTAGGAATTCGGATAGTGGAATTCCCAGGAAATCTGACTGTCTTGCATGCACCTTCCAACAGATATTGTTGCATTCTGCGGCACTTGGGCATGCTAAAACATATATTATGATATCAAACATATAATATATAATATATATATATTATATTATATTATGTTGTAAAGGTATCATAATATGGTCCCAAGGATAATGTTGGAGTCAACCGTTCAAACAGGGTGTGAGCCCAGGAGGCTCTGCTACGGTATAAACACCTTTCTCCACCACTGAAGCAAACGCTTCTGACAGCACCTGAAAAAGAAGTCCTTCATCCATTTTCGAGGCTGTCAGGAAGAGATTCCAGAGTACTCTGAATCTGAAGCATGTTGATTTCCTCAAAACCATGTAAAGTGATAGGGCCCCCGAAAAAGCAATAACTTCCCTTTTCACGCAAGTACTAAACAATTGATTTTGACGGCGCTTCATATGTTCTCTTTGTATCTACAGTAATTTCAAGATTTTGATATGTGCAGTTGATTAAAGGTCGAAGTAGTGACCTGGAAGACTCAGCTCTTTACTAGACCATTGGCTTTTGTTGCTTGTTGGTTTTCTTGTTTTTTCACCATTCAAAACTTGGTAATTGGGTGTATCTATAAACTGATACTGTACATTTAAAATCATTTAGATAGATACCTAGATAGTTCATGGATCTATCCCTTGGCTAGGGGTGGGCCCCATCGATTTACATGGTTTGGTGCATATTCTCAGCAGAACCGCACTACTCAAGGATTTAGACCGTGACAACATCCAGCGCATTGGAGTTAACACCTATTATTGGGCCCTATGGTGCGAATACCTGACCCTACCCCTTCCCACTATCCAGGCCCCACAACCCCCCACGCCACGCAATCAGCCCACCTCCCATTTCCGCGTCCCTGCCCAAGCAGTGAATCTTGGCATCTCAGGCCTCTCAACCAGACCTTGTGAGACCACTTACCACTCCAAGTGGCCTCTGCAAGGGGCCCATTGGGCACCTGCTGCAGCTCAGCACTCTTCGTTGACAGGAACCTCACAGCTCTGCTGTGGAGGTCAGATGGCAGTCCAAAGAGTCGTGGGTTCTCTCTGAGTCGACTCGAATCAAATCCTGGGACCTGGGACGTGGTGTAGGGTGTTCAGCATGTTTCTTCCATTGTGACATGTGTGTTCTTGAATCTTTAGACTCTTTGGTCACGTCAAGAGATTTGCAAACGTGTGAGGAAAAGCCAACCTGTTCGGTGAAGATACCTGTTGGACCGTGCTTGACATGTTCCGAGGGTTCACATCGGGCTCTCATGCTTGGGATAACCCGGCGGAACCCTCCTGTTTCGGTGCAAAGGTGCTGATGATCTGAACTTACAACTTGATTGAGCTAATTAGAAGGTAGAAGGCCCTCATTGTCAGTAGAATTCTTGGAAATGTTCAGACTGACTACCATCCTTGATGCTTTGAGGTATGATATAAGTGTGTGTGTGCGTTACTGGTGTATCGTTTATCTACACTCATCCATGTTCATCAACCTCTCCACCACACCGGTCGCCCAGCGACGCGATGACTTTCTTCACCGCCACCGATCGTTCCTGGCGGCGACGCGATGACCGTTCGTCTTTACTCTGGACTGTTCAGTCGTGTTCAGCAAAGGTGACAAGTAATAATGCTTAATATGTTTAGCAGCTCCTGGGTGGATTACCACCAATACAAAATACTATTATCTCCGTATCTCTGTTTACATCAAAGTCTACAGGGGCCCTTGAACAATCATGTCATAAGAAAAAAAACAGAAAACATGCATTGTCATGTTTTGTCATGCATGCAATGAGCACCTTGGTCCTGCTTAAGCAAATCGTTTTTTGGCTTCGGCTCGACGGAACCGCCGCAGCTCCACTCCTCCACCTTCTTGTCGAGGGCCGTGCAGAAATCATTGAACGGTGAGGACTCCTGGGGTGGTCACAACGGGAGATCAAATCCACTCAGAGAAGAACACAGATGAGAGTTGTGTCGCTTTAGGGACTTTAGGGTGATTCACTTGTTTTTCTTCACCTGGTTGACTTTACATTGCTGGTGGCCCTTCCGGTGCGTCTTGGGATGTGCAAGCGGTGGCCCACCCGTCAAGGCGTTTGCTCAGCAGGCATACAGATGGATGGCACAGTGCCGGGCCTGAGGTCAAATTCAGCAGGCTTTATCACTACGACAGCGATTTGTGTTATTTGAATGTGCTTTATATAACCTCCTTTTCATACAGTAATCTGTTCGTAATCTTTCTACCATACCCATGGGGGGCTTGAGATTTGACTGGTCCTGGTGGTACAAGTATGGTGCGATTGGTGTCTCCAATTTTTGTTTTGAAAACAAGAATGCCGCTGTTTGCGGATCTTGGGACAGGACCCAATCAACATCAATTAACTCAGTCCTGCAGGTAGGTGGTGCCCTGGTTGCCCTTCAAAGTCACAAAGCCTGGCGGATCCGTCGGAGCACAACGGCCGTGCAGGGACGGAGCGACAACGGCCCCAAGTCCGCCGTGGACCCCGTCTCACAGCGGGAGGGTTATCAGTCTCCTGTTTGCTGGGAATGACTGCATATCTATCAGCAAATCAATTCAGGAAGCTACGTTCGGGGCTTCTGGCATCGCTACTAGGAGCAAGGACGCTACTAGGGGGCTCCGCTGACCCAGCAACCCCTGCCCCAATGACGCCGGTGCTCGGTGACCCAGTCGGCCCGGTCTTGGGCGGCGGACCGACAAGGTCGAATCAGAGACCAGGGTCTTGGCGTCGCCCAAATGCTCTCAAGTGTCTTTCTCATTCTGAGAGAGAGAGACACACACCAACAAAAACAAGTCTTCCGGACTGGTGTCCAAATCGGCCGAAATCGGCACCTTCACATTTGGAGAAATGTTCCGCATGTTCTACCCATCCCTGCCCCCTGTGAGGAGCCACGGTCATGTGGCCTTGCTTCCCAGAACCTTCGACTTTCACCTGAGGAGCAGCAAAGCGAGCCATGACCGGCGGCTGGTCTGGCTGGTCCACATAGGCCCCCATACTATTGTACAGGGATTCAGTGAGGCAACGGCCAAAACCACCTCAAAAATCAGAAAGAGACGGTTGGGAAGGGATTGGTCGAAGGGCATTGGAGAGGATTGGATATAAAATGATATATACACAAGAAGCGCAGGCATCTTCTCAAGGATGTAAAAGTTATTATCTTGATATACATCCCTTTAGCCTTTAACCGACAATACCTACCAAGGAGCCTCACGGTGTCAAGAAGGGAAGAAGGCAAACTAACTCAGGCTTTTGATTGAGGTTCCAGCCACTGACCAACAATATTTATACAAGCAAATGTCAGAAATATATGTATATATACAATCTATATACGTTATACATTAACTGGCAGCATCCGACTCCAGCTCCGTCACCACATTCAGACCTCCCCCTTCTCCCGACCGGTTACGCCGTCCGTCCTTCGCGTCCGTCCGTCGCGTCCGTTCGAACCCTCTGCGTCCGCCTCCACACGCTCCATGCCAGTGGCTTCATCTTTGGCCACAGCACCCAAAGCTTCCATCACCTGCAGTGAACCCATCAGGTAGAAAAGCAGAAACAGCGAACTCTTCCGGTTGGTAGAAGAGTAAGAACTCTGCAGCTGAAAGAGCTGGTTTAAGTTGTTTTTCAAGCATACATTTGGGTCACCACCTCTGTTTGCACAAGTTGGGACGGTCCGCAGAGCCTCCGCTCTCTGGGGGCTTCACCGACCGCTTCACTGGAGTCCATTGAGTGGTTGTGTCTCTTAAGGAGCGCGTTAAGGACCCTTCAAAACTGAAGTGTTGGCCAATCATTGGCCAGTCATGAAAAAACGCCGTGTCCTCCAAAAAGAGTTAATTCATCTATGAATATCTATGACAAGAAACTCAAGCTGAAATCCTGCAGGAGCCAGCCAGCCCTTGTTTTCTACTTCTTTCATCTACAAACCAATTACTATGTTTCTCCATATATGAGTGGTTGGCAAGTTTACTTTTTCTCTATGATGTTCAATGTGATTAGGTAGCGTCCCACTGCCGACCTCTGGTTGTGGCGTTTGACCTGGAGACTGTGACTCGCATCGCGCCCAAGCCAAGTTTGGGGTCAATTGGTCTTCAAAGGGTCGACTGGGAGGGTATAGAAGTCATACCCTCCCGATGCTTCGACGCCAGGGACGAACGCCGCGAACGCCTCTCCTTCGATGCTTCGACGTCCCACGCCTCGCCCGTCTCCACCTTCCCCATGGTCTTGCTGCTGGAGACCTGCGATGGTCAACGGCCATTGAAGCCGCTTCCAAATGGCTTGAATTTGTTGAAGGTTTCATGGGAAAGAATACATGACCAGTGACCAGTACTTACAAAGGACTTTCAGCTTGAACTGCATGTGGTCGTGGTTTGTGGGGGGCTTGAGTGAGATTTGAGGGTTTGCGTTGAGTGTTTGCCCCTCTCAGAACCTGAGTGCGAAAATCGCAAGTACTGGAGGCATTGGAGCCAAGAATCAGAAAGTTTGAAGATCCTTTTGAAGATAATGAAACATCATCGGTTGGAAAGAACTATATATATATATATGTGTGTGTGCAGCGGCATTTACACTATCTATTATGTGGCGGCCCTATCTCGTTTAGACTACTCAAGTAGGATGTCATGTCACCGTATCTCGTTCAGACTACTTTAGTAGGGAATCACACTATCTCGTTCAGACTACTTTAGTGTCATCAAGCAAAAGCATCTCGTTTATGTGGGGGGCCTATCTCGTTCACAAGCGAATACTGGTGATAGACAAGCAACTAGAGCATGCCGTAGGCTACTTTAGTAAAGCCAAAATAGAAGTGGTTGCTCATATATATATATATTATGAAAAACATATGCCGGCCGGCTGAAGCAGACTTCTAAGTCTTCTTCTGTGTGCGTTTTGCTCTTTATCGAGGGGGTGAACACCTGCCTTTAGATGTCACTTGCACTAAGGGTCTAGCTGTCGATCGGCAGGTACAAGGTATCGTTCAGCAATGTAGACAGCCCATGTCGCCCATGCTCAGCACCTGCAGCACGTCAGTCATGGAAATCTCCTTGATGCAAACGAACTTCTGCCGGAAGATCTCCTGATATTGAAGGAAGCCCAAAGAGCGAAGCCCTTTGCTACTAGGAGCTTCTTGCTCCTAGTAGTAATGCCAGTATCAATGCCCTTTGCTACTAGTCGCTTAATCCTCCGATTATGAAAAAAAACATGACCGGCGCCTGACGGTCCTTACAACATGGGCCCTGTCCTGACATGTCCTGACCGTCCTGACCCCCCAAAACTGCGAGATCCAGAGTCGAATCTGGTCTGCAGTCTGCGCAGTCCACCTTCGACTGCAACTCCCGTTCGACTCCATTGGTCCATTCGTCCGACTCCCAAAGGTCTTGCCCAGCCCACGCGTATCTTTTCAACCTGAGACCAGTCCTGATGAGAGCCCGCCGAAAAGAAATGCTATGTACTCGTGATCCCATCCGGGAGTCTGTGTCGGTCAGAGGCTGGGAGGCCAAATGGCCAGCAAGTATATACATGTTTTGGAAGATTGATGGAAGTGGCCCCTAGAAAGAATACCCAACAGGTGGGGTTCCACTTCCATGTTGTTTACGGTATTATGATGAGTGTTTTGTTGCATGTCTCCCGGTAGTGTCTGGCATGATCCATGCCTTTCTTGATTGGCCAGCAGGGCACACAATAAACAGGAGGTAGATGTGGAACGCGTCATTTGGGCTAATTACAGTAAATAGGACTTGGGCAAACTGTCTTCACAGGTTCAATCTATCTCAGTACGTGTCCACTTTGTTCAAAAAGGTTGCTGATCTTGTCCATCAGCAGTTATCTCAACTTCCTCATTGGCTTTCAGTGCAAGTAAACACCAAAATAATTTGATACGAATTGCTGGTTGAAATGGCACCCCATGAAAAACACTGCCTCAAATGGAGATCCCCCCCAACACGAAAACGAGACATATCGATGGCACATGAAACCTGCGACCTAAAGAGCCAAGACGGATTCGGTACATATTTCCTTGTACCACTGGTCCTCTCTTCAGTCGAAAGTTGACCCCACCCCGCCCCATTTCCGTCCCTCCTTGAATTCAGCCGCAGAGATCTGACCATTGCCGCCCGCATCCACGAGCCTCGGACGTCGGTTGCACATGCGTCGCCTGCTGTTCTAGCAGTGCAGCCTGCAGTGCAGCCTGCAGACTCAAAAGTGTTGGAAGATGTAGTAGCAGGAAAATGAACGTATATATCTAAAGACATTGTATTGTAACTAGTTATGTTTAGTTTTCTCATGGCCTTTTCTAGTAACTCGTCCAGGCTAGAATTCCAGCCCGAATCCATCCAGGCAGTATTTCTTCCCGAACATGGTTTCCACGCCCCACCCTGGAATTCTCGCCCGATCACAAAAAATCACACCCGAATCACACCGATTCTGGCCCGAATCGAAAGGTTAAGAAGGCTTAAAAACTGCAGGTTTGCAACTTAGGTGCTTTGCAAGTAATTTGCAACATCTGCCCGAATAATGCAGTTTTCAGGACAAACCCTGGTTCAGACCGATGTTCTTGAACTGGCAGAAATTTGAGCCAGAATCCAGGTATATATAGTGACCGTAAATCCAGTAGAAACCAACCGGCCCACACTAACCGGGCATGGTTCGCATCCTTGAGAAGATCCGAGATGAATGATCACGGACTTCCGCTTTTCGGTGTTCAACAGTGCTCACGTCTGAGCTGGTAGAATTATAAAGTATCGCAGCCATGACGGGAGCGCATTCTGTTGCAATGAGCTTCTGAGTTGGCTGCTTGGCTAGTGCGGTGCGTCTCTCCTGCACCGGAGAAAAAGCCCGAGCACAAAGGGAAAAGGGGGGAGAGAGAGAGAGAGAGAACAAGAAGGCAAAAGAATGCACAAAAGCAGCGAGAAAGAAAGGAAAAGTTGCCAAAACCTTCATGCCTAGGCTAGTTGCAACAACCAGGCAATGGACAATGCCCATTATCAGATCAATCGTTAATGATGTTTCATGTTCCATTGCCTTGCTAGTAGCTTGGTCTCAAAACCATTTGACCCAAATTGGGATGAATCAAACACGTCGTTGCCCAGATTGCAGCCAACATCCGAAGTATGGGACCACGACCCCCACGAAGCGGCGAAGCGGGGGCACCAACCAAACTCACTGTGGCATACTTCCTTGAACACGCCAAAGGTCGGATCTCCAACAGCACTGTGCAGATTCTCCATCCAAAGTTCCATGATGTCCAATGGTTTTGGTTTCCATCGCAGCACCCACCTCCCACAATCCCCCCTCCGCACATCCCCTACTGAGGCTGTGTTAGGGACGAGTGGATTTCATGTCAGGGACTCTTCGCGAAGGTCAAGAAGCCGCTGAGGTCTCTTGGTAGATTGGTGGATTGAGTTGCTGGATCGTGCCCCCAGGTGCCCCCAAGGTTGAGTTGGAAAACCTCGTCCTTGAGCATCCCAAGGCACGACCCGGCGAAACGTGATTTCCTGCTATATAGCAACTGAAGGAGGAACCCAAGACTCGAGAGCTCGAGGCTGGCATATGCCAGCCACCTCTACAAACCTATTGACTAGCACATCTCCCAAAATCCCAAAATGTCCAGTATTGGTGTAACAAAAAGAATACGTACCATCCCGCTTTAAAGTTTTCATATACAAATATATATATATATATATTATATATATAATATATATATATATAACTATATTATATATATATACTATATACTATACGCTGTGGTTTTATCGGTTTTTCCCCCATTGTTAGCACTGCCCCGTGGCCCAGTTAACTCCCATCTTTTTCTCAGGTGCAGGCGCGATTCCAGCGAGTCGCTTTTGGGGCGAGGCGCGTCTGCGAGGACCACGAATCCCAGTCAACATGCGTCGAATTTCACGCCTGGGGTGGCCTCGAGCTCTCAGGGAGCTCTGCTCGGGTTCCAGTTGAGGTTCCCCCAAAGGTTTCTTTTGGTGAATCTTGGATCTTACCAAGAAGGCGGATGCTGCACCATGAAGTTCCAAACGAGTTCGGGGAATTGGATTTGCTGTGTGATCCCACCAATCGAAAAACTTTGTCAAAGGAGGGAAAGCTCATGACCCGATCAGCTTCCAAGACCAATCTCTACACTGAGACATCCCAAGCTGGGTGCTCTGCCCAGAGAGGATGCTCCTGAGATGTGGCAAGAGGAACTTAACGCTTGGCTTTCGCCGCTGTCCTCTAAGCTTTGCACAAATGTCAATCTGAAGCTAATGACCTGGTTTGTTGCTAAGAACAAGGGTTCTTGAATGTTGTTTGAAGTGTCTTGTTTTTTGGGTTAACTTGGAAACAGCTCCATTTTGATCGTCCACCTGTGATCGCAGTCGCAGTGGTTCATGCTGTTTCCGCACTCTCACTTTTTAACCGGCTGCCTTAGGTTTGTTGGACACCAAGTAGACCTGCAATATCGGCGCAGTGACAAAAGTAATGACAAGTGGCACTAGCCATGGACAGCTGTCACTCTTGGCGAAGGAAAACGATAGACTGTGACCATTGAGAGTTCATGTTCGTGCATTCGCATCAATGTGAGCATGTAATTATATAAAATGTGGAGACCCTCCAAAAGCCACTGGAAGACGACAAATCAACTGAAACCCAGTTGAAGGCTCTCCGTACTCGATGTGCATCATCATACTCACACAGCTCCAAATCACGCCATGCACCGCCAGGGCCCGCTGCACCTTGCTAAAGGCATCTCCAGCATAGTTGTTGATGGCCTAAAGGACAAAGAACCACAGCTAAAGGAAAAAGGATTGGGAAAGATTGTTGATGGCCACGTCGAAAAACCGTGCATTCGTTGGATTTGGATTGAGTGGAGCCTCCATTCTTTTGTCGAAGCAGTCACAACACGCTTGCCTAAGACAGCTTGACTACCTTGCTTGGAGATTGACCTGGTGAAGGGAAACCTCAAGGCCAAACACCACTTTGATTGCTAAGGAAATCAAGAACGGAACGACCATCATTTCCGTCTCCAAAGCATAAACTTGGACAAGTTGACCATGGATCATTGTGAAAGAACCGCAAAAGCCATAGGTCCAAAAGAATAATGGGGTTTTGGACATTTGTACTCTGCAACAGCAGCAGGAGCCCAGTACCTTGATATTCCGGGAAATCTTTGCCAGGAACGTTCGGAACGGACGTCACATGTTGCAGGGCATTGTCCAGGAACAATCTCTATTGGTTCTTCTTGACACCTGCTACTGGACTCAAATGTTGCCCCGCCTTGCAATAGTTCTGGATCTGCTTGCTAAGCACCTCGGCCCGATCGACACCCCTGCTGTTAGATAGATTTCCTGAAACTTTGCTGTGCCCTCCCAACTCAGGAGTGAGCTGGAAAATGCTCCCTCCCCTGACCAAATGAAAGAGCATTCGCTCCTTCCCAGGACAACTGAAACATCAGGAGATCTGCAATATTCAAATTCTGTGCGCCACAAGCAACTATGCTGCCAAAATGATCTACATAGCGTACGTTGTCTACCAACGAGATAGATCACGAAATGGGTGATTCATGATTTGCATCAAGGCTGCTACCTAGTGTGGACATGGCATCTCACGAGATAGAGCAGACACAACTGATGACATCCGAACAACATCGAACAACTCTAGGAAACACACATGGTGAACTCGCAACGGACCAACTCGACCATTGAGGTACGAGAACACTTAGACCCACGGTCTACAACAGGACCAGTATCCAAAGATGTTTTATATACTGTATCTGAATCTAAAAACATGCATGCCTTGCGCAAGACTCTCACGGGCCGGACCCCGCATCCTGGATTGTAAACCTTCAAGATCGCATCTTATTTGAAGGCCCAAAATGTGCAATTCATCAGACCATTCTCTGGTTGGTGGTTTCAATGTCATTTTAAACAAATACAAGTCACTGGGATCAATCATCCCAAGTAGAGGTTGAACATGGTGTAATATCAAAAAAACTCTGGGGAACTACTCACTCCGCGTCTGAAAAACTGTCGGCTTTACCATCCACCGGAGGCCCATCCGGCTCGTCCAGGCGCCATGGTGTCCAATGGCTGAGGTTGGGCCCGTGGATAGCCCTTGCCCTTGCCCTTGGGCGGAGTCGCTCCGCGCGTCGCTCGACGGGGTGGAGAACATCAGACAACACCGCTTATCTATTTCCACCAGAAAAGAAGAAACCTGCACCGCTTATCTCAGGTCCAAAAGTCCGGAAGTTGGAAGAGGACTCAGTTTTTCTATCAAGTCTAGGATCAGTAGTAGGCATGCTGTCTCAGAGATCTCAAAGACTACACCTGGACAGAACACCTTCGTCTTCTGAAGCATCAGTGACCATGGTCTTAGGTTTGCTGAAGCATTGAAAGGCCTACTGGCACCCACCATCCCACCCACCAGCCCTTATCATCTCTTATCATCTCCCATCCGTCCCCCACGACACTCGCATGCGCTGGCGCCTTGTCGTCGCCCTTGCGGCCGGCGCTTCGCTCGTAGTTGGCCTCGGCGCGAACGAAAACGGGGCGAACAGCGCAAAGCACGACTGCTGGTGCGCTCAGTTTGGTGCAAGATCATACTTTCGGGGGAAGTGGGGCCTCGATTCCAAAGTGGAAAGAATTGAGGCTCTCGGCTTGTCACGTCATGGCTTGTCTATGTATAGCTCACCCATTTGGGGAGTTAGTTGCACCAATTCCTGTAGTCCAGTCCATCAGGGAAGGTCGCTTTTTGTGTCCGGATCAGACTTATGCAACCCCATTTTGTGAAGACTGTCAAAGACTGTCACAGAAGTTAGCAAACATTGCGATCAATCGAAACAGAATTTTAGATGATGATGCTGATTATTGCGGCCGTGTCGGAACAGGGCTCGCTTTTCCGTGCCAAACATAAGACAGCGACGACTGAAGCCTGCTAATGGCTGGTTTGTGATTTCTGCATAGCTGTACTTGTCGGGTTGCACTTTGTAGCCTGGAAGGCTCTGTGACAATGCTCCTCCACAACACCCAGGAATAAATAATGCATGGATACTGATTAGACTAGTGCGACACCCAGATACTGGTGGCCCAGAGGGGGGGTGGCGAAAGCTAGGCAAATAAACAACGCTGGGGCTCTTTCGGCAGCAAAAGCCAGGCCGGGAATCGCAACATGCCATGGCCAAGGGAAAAGGAGAGTGCCAACAGCGCCCCCCCCAATACGACCCCAACACAGCCAACACGTGGCAACACACAACCACCCCAGCAACCGCCGCAGCAGCAGCAGCAGAAGCAGCAGCAACAGCCACAACAACAATAACTGTAACCAGCAGCGGCAGCGGCAGCAAGCAGAAGCTACCAAGCAGCAGCAGAAGCAGCAGCAGGAGTAGCTAGCAAGCAGCAGCACCAGCTACCAAGCAGCAGCAGCAGCAGCAGGAGCAGCTACCAAGCAGCAGCAGCAGCAGATACCAAGCAGCAGCAGCAGCAGCAGCTGCTACCAAGCAGCAGCAGCAGCTACCAAGCAGCAGCAGCAACAGCTACCAAGCAACAGCAGCAGCAGCTACCAAGCAGTAGCAGCAACAGCTACCAAGCAACAGCAGCAGCAGCTACCAAGCAGCAGCAGCAGCAGCAGCAGCTACCAAGCAACAGCAGCATCAGCTACCAAGCAGCAGCCGCAGTGGCAGCAGCAGCAGCTACCAAGCAGCAGCAGCATCAGCAGCAGCTACCAAGCAGCAGCAGCATCAGCAGGAGCCACCAAGCAGCAGCAGCATCAGCAGCAGCTACCAAGCAGCAGCAGCAGCAGCAGCCAAGCAGCAGCAGCAGCCAAGCAGCAGCCAAGCAGCAGCCAAGCAGCAGCCAAAGCAGCCAAAGCAGCCAAGCAGCAGCAGCAGCCAAGCGGCAGCCAAGCAGCCAAGCAGCAGCAGCAGCAGCAGGCAGCCAAGCAGCAACAGCAGCAGCAAAGCAGCAGCAAAGCAGCAGCAGCAGCAAAGCAGCAGCAGCAAAGCAGCAAAGCAGCAGCAAAGCAGCAGCAGCAAAGGCAGCAGCAGCAGCAAAGGCAGCAGCAGCAGCAAAGGCAGCAGCAGCAAAGGCAGCAGCAGCAGCAGCAAAGGAAGCAGCAGCAGCAAAGGCAGCAGCAGCAGCAGCAGCAGTGTTGCGTTGCAACAAGTGCAGCAACCCTGAACCGCATGAATGGCATCAACCGTACCATGACACGAGTTGGGGCAGCGTGACAATAGTATAGTTAATATAAGATGCACAAAGGGAAAACTCAACTACTGCCATGCTTCCACCAAACATCACCAAACTCTTCATCACCCGCTTCCCCCACCGAACTCTTCGCTCATGCCCCAACACGTCAGCAGCAACCAGCAAGCAGCCAAAGGCAATCAGCAGCACCAAGCATGCAAGCAGCAGCAGGTACTGAGGAGAAGGGTGGAGTTGAACCCGCGGGGGGCGGTTAAAGCCTGATAAATCAGGTATCTGCACTCAGGTCCTCGGCTCCCACCCTCCTTGCTAAAGCAAGACAGACTCCAGCTAGCTACAGCTAGCTTTCGTGACTAGAGCCAAGCCTGATTTTGTCTATCAACAGTGGCTGGACATGTTCAGTTCTGTTCTGCTTCCCGCGACCCGACAACTTTCCGGAACAGGGTTCTTTGCAGGAAGGCAGCTGTCCCGATTTGCCCAATCCCACTGACACACACTTGAGATTCATGCGTCTGACGTGCACTTTAATTAGGCACACACATGCATAAAGTTTCCTCTGGAGATACAAGCTTCTTAGAAGCTGTGCAGAACAATTGGTTGGAGCATGGGCGTCAGTTTTCCCCTCTGCCTCATACCTCACACCATTCCAAACCCAAGACCTTATCAAACCCTCTCTGTGAGCTAGTGCCTCCTGCAAGAGAATCACCAAACTCTGAAAGCCACGAGATTCTTTTGCCCAAGTGGCCATCTTCTGCTGCTCCTAGTGGCGACAACAGCGACAAGGGGGAGAGCTCGTGTACCCTCTGCTGTTGCAGGTGGTCCTAGTTCTGGGACTGGCAGACTACAAGCAGGAGCCATTGACAGTCTGCAGGTCTAAGTATTTCATTAAAGACACTGTCAGTCTAAGGCCGCTTCTAAGGGAGTGAAAGGCGCGCTGAACTAGATTTGAACTACAGACTGCGTACTACCCTATTCTTTGCACTCTCCAAGCTCAGGAATGAGACATCATGATAGAAACAACAAGACACGCGCCCCACCCGGGCGGTCAATCCAAACCAGAAATGGTGTTGCCAGGCCATCCACCGCCCAGCGCCTCAGCCAGGTTCTGCAGAGCTGAGCTCAAAAGCTGCACGTTCTTCTCAAAGAAGGCCTCTCCACTCGCCGCACTCGCTACATTCGGATCACGAATTTCGGAACCTCGCAGCGATGGACGTCCAAGTCCCAGATAGAAACACACCAAACATGAACAGGAGAGTTGCAGGGAACACACATCGATCCCATTCGAGTCTATTCATGTCTATTATGGTTTTCACGACAAATCAGAAGTTGAAGGCCGTCGCCGGAGCCTTGCACTAGACCCACCTGACAAAAGGAAGACCTTCCAAATCCTCTGGATGGATGATCCTGGTCATTTCATGGTTTTGTGGCTTCCAGGCTATTCAGAAATTCACTCATCGCTTCGCAGACTCCCTGGAGACTTCTTCTTGTTGTGCTTTGGCCTGTAGTATGAACATCTATGTTCCAGTGATCCACAGCAAAGCCTTCAACCAGGACACAAATTGAGATCATCTACTGAGATCAAATGAGCCGATTTCCCAGCAAATGGGTGTCCTCTTTGACTTGGATTCTCTAGATTCTAGATAGGAGGTCCATGTGCCGGCTGCTCACGCCGGCTGCTCACGCTGCTTCCACCCGATGTCGCCTGGTTCTCCACGTCGAGGGTCTCCACTTGGGAGGTGGCCAAAGGGCTCATGATGGACCAGTCCAGCAAGAAGCACTCCGCTAAGGGCGAAGCCGTGACCACCTGAAAAGACTCTGTGTTTCTCTGTGTCGTTATGTGTAATTTTACGGGGGAGGTCGCTATAGAAGAGGTAGCTATAGTAGCTATAGGTACTGGACGCCACTACCTACTGGACGCAGGATAGCTCAAGCACTATTCATTAGGCTCCTAGATTCTTTGGAAAATGTGTCTGGTGGCCATCCGAAGGTGTGGCTGGAGAAGTTGGGAGGTGGAGAACTCGATTCAGGCGGCTCAGGGACATCATCCGCATGGGTTGCTGAGCATCCAAAGCCAATAATAACTGGAAAAACAACACCAACCCGGGAAAAGAAGAACCAGGACCCCTACAACAATCTTAATGGTGCTCTTGAGAGTTGCCTGTTTTGCGTCAACACTGTGAAATTTCCGCCCTCCGTGATCAACGGGCACTGTGTCCAGATCTGTGAATCGGACAATGGGAATCTCCACGAACATCTCGTTCACCGACATCTCGAAGAGATCCGCCTCGAACGAATCGGCGAAGGAATCGTCAACGTCAACCGTCAACTCTTGCCAGCGAGAGTTGTGTTGTTCAGTTCGAACTTAGGGTGATGTGTGAGATTCTCCAGTACCTCTTGCTAGCATTGGTTGTGGCGAACACGCGCCAGCCTACCGGCTGAATGATCTATGGTCAAGGCTCGGCAAACATGGTTGGGAGCCAGGTTGGGGTGACTGCAGTTGTTGGGCTCACGTTCCACTTCTTGGGCCCACGATATCGTTCCGGATACTGATACAAGTTTGATATATAAGCCTTTTATATCCTGTTTTGTACCACGCCATCTAATCTAAGCCAGGCAAGCAAGTACTAAGCATCATCCTTATGAGTCCTGACTTTGATTGTAAATTTGCTTGTTGACACATAAAACATGCTGCCCTTGGTACGAGGGGATATTCATACTCCCTTCGTACACAAATCTCCTCGCCCGACCCTCCAGGCCCCACCTTGGGCGCGGCGTAGCTAGAGCTATACCTGGGAGGAGCTATACGTAGGTGAGTCTTTTAATTCACCGGTGTTGTTGCTTGTACATGATTGCACATGTGATTCCGTTGCAAGCAATACAGTTATGAGGGGTTGTTCAATTGGATTGATGATTCTAGTCAGTAATGATACTGAATCATGCATCGGTTCAAGGTCCATTTGCAGATATCCCAGAAGCAGATCCCTTCGGAGCCTTGCCATACTGCTCCATGCTCACCAGTGTATGCAAGTAACAACACAAGGTGATGCCACCAGCATCCGTTGAACCCACTCTCTAATCACGAGGAACTGTGCGGGATGACAACAAGCAAGTGAGATTGCATCAGAGATCCAGTCGAGCTTGTTTTACCCATAGCAAGTTGCCAGCGTCGCATGAAACCTCGTAGTGGGGCCAATAAAACAGTCCTTCCCATCCGTAGCTAGAAGCAACTCCAACATTTGCCAGTTAAATCTCCCTCCTACTCAGCTCAGCGTGAGAATTGTAGAGGCTTGTCCTGTCAAAAGAGCTTGAATTTAACCAGTAATGTTGCTCAAACAACATAAGGGCATTCTCAATACCTTCACTGTAGATTTCTACTTCAGCTGAGCCATGGTTGGAGTTCTTGAAAAGGGGTTGCTTGATAGGACCAGCAAAGAACATGTCACAGAATTGCGTGGATCCTAAATAAATACATGCTGAACCAACGAAAGAAACTGTTGCTTACAGAAAGCACTAAATTCATCGTGCCCTGTCAGCACGCATTGCAACAACCGTTGCAAAGGCATTGCAATTGACTGGAGATGAGAAGGGACAGGCGGCCCACTACTGTCGGCCTCGTTTGCCGATCGACGGCGGCCACGCGCCGCAGCCCGAATTGAGAAATACGGAACCATAAGAGTCACTGCATGGGACTCGGGACGCACAATGTAGGATGATATACATGCACCTTTGGCCCTCCAAATGGCCAAACAGCACAAATCCCAGTTGAAAGCTTGCAGAGGGTCTGATCAAGCCTGGAATTACAGCAAGTCTCCTGAGCATATACAAGTATATAGCCTGTACCTTTGTACATATGAATGCGAGTGACAAAACCTGTCGTCTTCTGGATACCAGGTATCCTGGGCAAAGCAGGGGAGAACTCCATCATCTCTCTTTTTGACTTGCATGAGGCAATGAAGACTTGGCAATACTTCGTCTGTTCACCTGTCTGTTTGCTTTTGGCAGAGTGACGCGCAGTCTAAACCTTAATCTTCTTCCCAAATATTCAGGCTGACACATCGGTTAAAAGTCCCAGCAAGTGATTCAAGAATTACACATTCAGAAAAACTACAGCACGCGAATGCGTGGCTCACGAATCCAGTCGTAGCCTTGAACCCATTGTGAGAACAAAGGCCTGGAATACTTTGCAGAAACAGGCACACCGAAACTCATTCCAGATCTGTCACGACCCAAAAAGGCTCCAGATCTTTCCAGAGCTGTGGCAGTCCTGTGGGTATGTGAATACCACTCAAAATAAATACAGTGGTTTCAGAGTCGATGGCACAAACCCCTACTAATTTCTACTATCTTTTAGATGGGGGTCCATAAAAAAACACCATTGGGCCATTGGGGATTGTGCCATCAACTCTCAAACCACTGTACCAAGCAAGACACCAAGCAAGACACGATGAGCCAGCGCAGACTAGGGGCCATAAGGTGTTCGCAAGTGTTCACACGACTGACTAGATCTGATCATATCTAATCAGCAAATAAGCAAATAGTATATATATATATATGTATGGGGTTAATGAACCTCCTGAAGATCAAGTCCTTTATTTGGGGGGAGGACCGGACTGATGTCAACTGATGCCAAGCACAAAGCCTCACCCCGTCTCGTGGCACACATCTACACATCTCCAAACCTCCAAGCCCGTGTCTCTACGTGGAGATAGCGCAAGGCCCCATCTGGGAGGAAAACCAAATGCCATTATAGAACTTGAACATTGAGCACCTCTGAAAAACGGTCGGTCTGAGAATTCGCAGAAGTGTTGAGTGGAATCTTCAGCACCGCTCGAGGGCTTAAGCCCCCACCACCCACATGATTTTGGATTCATCCGTGTCCTCAACTCACCTAAACCTCGACCCACTGCCTCATATCTTTTGGGCCGTGAGAACGGCGTTTGCCCGCTAAGATTTCGCCTCGCCTTCCTGCGCTTTGGCAGCCGAAACCGGCTCGAACATGCGGAGCCGCGTGTTTGAACCAACACGCACAGAGGTGGCCTGTTGGTGAGTGAAGACCATAAATACTAAATACATCTAAATACCATGACTGCAGTACAGTAGATCTGTAGCGATCTGCCAGAAAGCCTGTTTCATTCTGTCTTAAATTGTGGAGTGAATCCATGGATTGGAGTTCTTGGAGAAAGATACCAGTTGACAGGAAAGTCTGGCCAAGCGGCTTGGAACAAATGTAGTGTTTGAACGATTGAAACATCAGATGATCGGTTCAATGATACCATAGGGTGATGCTCGCTTGCTTCATGTAGATCGAATCCAGGCTACCGGCTCTCTGGGCAACAGCTTTTTGATCTGCTTGCTTCACAAACAAAACACAAACAAAGAAGATGTGTCCTTCCAAGTTTCTGATGCCCTCTACATTCAATGGTGGGTGTCTACATGAGTCAACATGCCAAAACCAGCAAACATGTCAGACTATGCACCGAACAGCTCTTGCCTTCCACAAGCTTGGAGCCTCTGTGATGTTGGATCGCGACACAGGCTTCGAGGTGAGCTTCTGGTCATGTCAGGATTCGGATTCGGAGTGGTTCCCGCATGGGACTGAAGTGGTTATGGAGTTGTGGTCGACAGAAACAGCCGCATTTAAGAGAAACAACTGCAATTCGCATAGCAATTCTCTCCCCAAGAGTCGACTCGATGGGCTGTACTCGATGTCTGGTTTCAGAGCCATGCACAGTAGCGTCAAGAAATCTAGGTTCCTGTGCGCTTGGGGTTCCCAAGCCATAATAAGCCATCTGAGGGAAGTGTCCATCCACAAAATGGCAACATTGGCAACACACACACACATATATATATATACACATACACACTATTGAGGTGTCTGGGGTGTGTTGGGGGGTCAATGTTTTAGACTAGACAGTGTCAAGTTCAAAACTCTTGCTGGCTCACGCCCTGAACCCAACAACTTTCTTGAAGTTCTCGCTGCACAGATTTCATCCGCTGACAACGGTCCAACCGTCAGTCAGGAAGTGTCGCAGGCACACCGATCAAATCACCAATTCGTCGATGGTCGTTCAGCTGGGAGGAGCTGGGAGATGGGATGAACATTCCTCCAAGCCTGGTTCAAAAAACCGCAACCAGCGCCTCTGTAGCGCCTCTCTGTCGCAAGCTCTCTGTGGGCCATAGGTCCAGCAGTGCATGTTCGTTTACAAGCCTCTGTGTCGCAAGAAAGCAAACATAGCACTATCGTAGCGTGCTGGAAGTTTGGTGATATTGATGGCCGTTTAATGATTTACAGTAATGTGAAGGATGTATATAAGGTGGAAAATGTAGCCCTCCTCGAAGATGTGACTCGTCAGCAACATCTTCGAAAGTTTCTACTCAAATTGTTGAACAAGCCTGTCGTTCCTGCTCTCAAAGCCCTTTCATCCCTGCCGTCTAGTTCAATCACATGAGGATAGTTGCCACTGCCAAACCAACAGGACCACAGCTGTACACGCTCCCAAGGCGGAAGCGGCCTCTGCCCTTTGACCAAGCAAGGGACCATGAGATCCTCAGATCCTCCCAAGCAAACTGGTCCTGTGCCCCAGTGATTGATTAGCTCGGATAATTACTTTGATCCGCCCACTCTTGGCAGGGTGCAGTCTCCAATCCGTGGTAAGTAGCATATGTGTCCAATGCCAATGCGTCAGTGTTTGTTGGTCCACAACATTGCCTGGTTTTGGTGTGAGGCAGGGACCGCCAAAAGGTTCATGTCCACACCCGCCCGGCCACAACCCGCCCACGACCGCCCGCGGGTGGAGGGTTTTGAGAACATGTGGCATCGAGGTCCAGGCAGCACTGACAAAGCTGGTCAAACACACTGTGGTAGAACAAACGCAGGGATCACACCCCACGCACTCCACCTGATAGAAAACATTTAATCTTAAGGTACTTCATGCAGTAGCCACGTAGTCTTCGAGGTTGCAATTGTTCAAAAAGGCCGGCAATGTCTCCACCCCATTTGGATGTGGGAATCAATTCCATTGCTCGCAAAAGGAATGCCACACTTGGACGAGTTCGCATGAAAGGAAAGCGGGGCTAACATGCCGAAGCTTCCCTTAGACAGTTAATTTGACTTGGGCTTGGCAGAGTTGTCCACATTCAAGCCTTACTGGAAGAAGCAAGTTGTTGAAGGGGGAGAAGGTATGAGAAGGTTGCTTTGCATTGCCAGTTCCCTTGAGAAGGTGTGATCTGATCATTGATCTGTAATGATCCAAAAGAATCTGGAAGACATCGTAACTATCTATAATTACACCATACAGTAACATGCATAGCTGGAGGACGCCTGGTCCGTAATTACCAGCCCTGCCTGGATCTTCCCGACCCTCATGCGCCGCGGCGATCCAAGGTGAAGGTCTCCGAAGCCTTCGTCTGAGAAGCCATGACTCCTGCAACGCTTGAACCGCCCGAGGGCCGCGGTGGAGCATGTTGGCAGCACTTTGTGTTGCTTCACCAGTCAAACGCCCCAAAAGTACCAGCAGTTTGCCATTTTTGTGCACTCATGTGCACTCAACATCCTTATCCCGTCTTGACATCCAGCTATGCGCAGAAGATGCGCCTGCCATGGAAGCCAAAAGTAGTAGTCCAGCACCACACATGGCGCAAGGGCCTTCAAGAGTCTCGCCTCACCGTTGCCCGCCACCACAGGGCCAGTCAGTTGACTTGCTGTTAGAACACATGCAATCAACATCATCTAACGTTGGGCAGTCACTCTACCATGATGTTCTGTGGGAAATATCACATATCGGGTATTATGGGGTAATGTACTGGTCATGTTCCAAATCTAATGCAATCATGCACAATCCTTCAATCCATATTGTGCCTGCGAGTTGGGGCGGGGCCCAGGGAACCTTCCAGCTGTTCGACTTCTTCGTCTGGTTCCGGTGCGCGGCCTCGCCAGAGGTAGGCGAAGATGGCGCCCCAAATGGGCTCGCAGGCGTAGATGAGGGCGGCCTTGGAGTCCGATGCACCCAGACCCAGCCGACTTGCTCTCGTCTTGTTTTGCGTGCAGCTGTTTGGAGCTTGTTTGGTGCCAGTGCCTGCTTTTGAGGTGCCTCTTGGTTGCTATACCGGGCTGCCTGTCGACTCGGAGTCCAGAAAACAGATCGTGATTTGGGTGGGCAATTAGGCGACCGCTGCGACGACCATCCAGTTTTACAGCACCTGAAAAACATGTCCCGCCGAAGGTTTATTGACTAGTGAAGGTCCATGTGAACAACTTTTTGCAAGTGGCAGCCAGCCTGTTCAGCCCTCGTTGTTCAACAAATCCACCCATACACACACAGGACTCAGGACATAATAATAACTTCATATAACTTCCCTTAGCTCCCCTTCCTGTTCTCGGTATGGGACCTTGCTCCAAGCCAAAAAAGCGAGCACTTTGAATGTGTGCCAGGAGATGTGACACGAGCGGCACGTGATTTTTCGACCCCAAACACAACACCGATGCGGCGGATGCGACCCAATGGACCGTGAGTCCGAGTTGGCCCGGCCTCAGAGATGAAGAAGGATGTTCCAACCAAACACGCGAAACTCCGGTGTTTGAAAACGCCGAAGCTGTGGTTTTCATCGCAGGAAAAGGACGGACGTCCTGGCATTCAACTCAAATGCCTTGGCACAACGCGAGGGTTTTGGGGGTCTGCTTCTTGGGGAGGGCTGGTCCCGACAGTTTCATGTCCGACAGTTATGGTGTTCAGTAGAAACCCACTGAGGAATTGTTGTCTCTCCAGGACACCACGGAGGCATCCACGTTCTGCAGCGCGAAGGACTCGGCCCAGAGGCAAAAGGCAGTCGTGACAAGGCCCATGGTCACCACGGACATCCACTCACCTGAGGGTCACGGGTTTCATTGGCGGAGCGGCTGGGGGTCTGGTGGGGTGGGAACCGTTGGGTGTGAAAAAAGGAAGCGAGCAAGGAGCGGTCATTCAGTGGAGTTTGTCGCCTGCGAATGAGCTTGTCGGCAAAACAAATTTTGGATACGGTCATTAACCCATTCTCAGCAAGATCTAGGGACAGCTTGTGAGCGTGCCATCGATCCCAATGACGTTCAACTAACTACAGCAAAATGACTTGGATCCCGTTGGATACCTTTTGGATCAAAGAAGGAATATCTTTCAGCTCCACTTCTTGGCCATGATCCCGAATTCAAGCCGGCCAGCGTTCCAATTCTTGATCTCATTCCAAGCTCATGTTCATCCACAAATTCCCAACACGCACCATCCGAGGTCACAAGAAGAACCCACCAAAAAGGATTGAACGTGTGGGCGCCACAACCATGGGAGAACAAACAGCCCGAAACGCAATCATCTTGCATCATATTCCTCTTCCGCACTTTCCATACTCCCGCCAAAACCCAAAGACTTGCATTTCTCCTAAATAACGACCGGTCTGCGGTTCGATTGAACGACGTCCCGGGTTTCTCGTTGGTCTTGCCTGGTGCAAGTTGGGCCACCGTCTCCAAAACGCCTGGCATTGAGGTGCCCTCAGCCAGGACGCACATCAGCGAGAAGCCTCGAGTCGGTGCGGGCGGGCGCATCGACCGATGGGCTGAGGCAGTGCAGTTGAAGGATGCTGAGAATTGCATCCGTTCATTCTAGAAGTACTTCTTCATCAAGGAGTGGCCGTAATCCCAAAAAAAAACTGGCATCGGAAGTCAATGAACGGGTTCACAATGAACATATATGAACTGCACGTTTTACCATGCTAAACCAAGGCTTCGGTCTTTTCCCTTACTTTTTGGTGGAGAGCTTCGGAATGATTCAGGATATTGCCTTACGTTTTGCTCGAAGAAGTACCAAACTGCTGGGAGGTTTAGAATCAGAGATGTGGTGCACTCGAGATGTCTAGTATCAACAGGACACACTATCACTAGGCATCTCCACCAGTCGAGCATGATGTTGTGCTGTCGGTTTGTTGGCTTCGTTTGAGCGGTGAGACTGCAATGTCATCAAGAAAAGGTGTTGCTGCAAGGAAAACCCGCACGTCCCTGTCAGGTGACAGTGAGTCTCTTGAAGGTTGTTTGTCAGGTACCACGTAAAGTGGTTGATCTCAAAGACTTGCTGGTTTCTGGTTACACTCCAACTCATGAATTGATGTTGAAAGTGGAAAAGGGACCCTGGGAAAATGATTTCCATGTTCGATCACTGAATGCTTCACTGAGTGTGTTTGTCAGTTGCAGTTGCAGTGAGTATAGCGTTCATGTCAGTTGCTTGAAACTCAAATTAAGCCATGAGATCGGCAAGAACACAGAACTGGGGCACGGTCTTGATCGGATTGTAGATTAGATACACTTACATTCTGATGACTGACGACGGTCAGCGCTTACTCGGATTGTTTGGCATCGTCCTCTCTTTCTACCATTCTTGTGGGGATCTCCTTCTACCAATCCAAAACCAGCAGCTGAACAACGTGCCTGCGACTAACGCCAGCTGAAAGCAGGTAAGGCCAACCACCTGGCGACCAGTTTGTTCTTCTACCAGTGGTTTGGGCGTGTATTACACCAAATATCGCACAGGTCATTGTTATTCCTAAAAATATATGTGTGGTGGTGTTCCGCAAATTCCCAGCCACCATGGGATAAGCCACTGGGGGGTTGGAGGTGTGGAGGTTCCCGTAGAGGCGGACGTCACTCCAGAACTGTAAGAGACTCATCTTTATAGACCATAGATTCATAGATAAGACAAACTAATCTGTACCGAAACAGAAATATACAAACTGATTGATTGTACTTCTCAAATAGCGCGTAGCAGCTGCCCTAGTAGGCCCTAGTGCTCCAGCAATCTCCCTCATCGAACTCACCCAAGGCAGTCATTCCATGAATTTTCTGGGCACATCTCAGGCTGGGGCGAAGGTTCTGAAAATCAAAAAGTTAACTTTCCATGTCGTTCCCCATGCGCACCACAACCAGGTGACACCATGTGACATGAGAGATCATCACAAAACCGGGCCCCTGCCGCTTTCTCGCTCTGCCGCCCTGCCTGGTGCTCGGGCACCTGCGGATGGCTTCTCCGAGAAAGCAGTGCTGAAGGTGCTCGTTTGGAAGGAACAGCCGAGGCGCTTAAACAGGCAGGAGCTAATCTTGGCAGTCTTCCATGCATAACTAATTAGAAGATACTAGAAGAACTCGTCGTGGCCATGAATGTAGAGTTGGTGTCAATGATGAAGCACTACATGAACCATCATGAACCCTTGCTTTCTCTGCCCCCACGTCTCTTTCCAGGTGAACTTCGTGGGCAAACTTTGTGCGTGTTTATGTTCATGTGTCTTGGAATGAAACCCACGTCGCTCCTGATTTCAAAGCAGAGCTATCTGAACTAGTTTTAACATGTGAGTTGGAATGGTTTCGGGCAAAGGCCTGTCGATCTGTGCGCTTTTGCTCTTGTTTGCGTGCGGTCGATGGCCCCTGTGCAGCCAATGACCCCGTTGGGTGGGTCTGAAAGCATTTACACACTTGATAGTGGACAAACCGACTTGGGCTACACGCCATCAGATTCCATGGAGGCCTGCATGCCTCCCACCTTGCCCGCTTCAGAGCCCTACTGTAGATGTCCAGAGGGTTTCTTGACCTTATTAGTTCAGAACAGTGGGGACCCAAATGAAAGTCGTAGCAAAAGAATCCGATGAGAACCCCTCAGGTGCTCGAAACAAACTATGTCTGCCCCAAACCCAGATGTTTCTGGATTCCACCTTCCATAGCAAAATCGCACCAATGCGATTGAAGGATGTAAGGTGAAAGCGCTATCTTGTGAGCTTACATTTCATTCATGCAAATCCTTATCAGGTTCCCACTGCTCCAATCAAGCAAATATCGAGGAAATCCTAGGTCCTAGGAAGCATGGTTGGTTTTCTGCAATCGCTTTTCTGGACAAGAATGAGTCCGGACCGTGCGACAAGACTTGGGAAACTGGTTGTGTGGAATTCTAGCTCACGCAATGACTGTGGCATAAGTCTGTGGCATTCCATACCGACGCAACCTTGGTCTTCAAGCCATTTTGTGTTGATCACCCCAGCGAGAAACATTCTTTGACAAACTTCACAGGCCGAAGGGCTGATGTCAAGGATTATGTGTTTAATCGATGTTTAAAGAAAAGGAATTAACATTTATATATGTGGTTTATTGTTTTTTGATGTTAAAAATCCCAAACAGCTGCTTATTCTTCATGGTTCTTTTACAGAAATCTTTGCGGTTGGAAGGATTTGGGCTGCCATTAGGGTCCATTCGACCCCCACAAGAGAGTCCAGAGGCGAGGGAAGGAGGAAATCATCAACAAGGACATGAAGAATCTTAACATGTTTTGCAGGTCATAAGAAAACACATACTGTAAGTATGGATTCAGAAATATGTCATCAAACGTATCATAAAATTATGATAAAATATGTTAAAAGGTTGGTGTTGGAGGAGTGAGTTCACTGTGACAACCAGTAATGAGGGTGGCTAACCCCCCACGGTTATTTCGATTTCTGGGACAACCAGTCAGTGGCCAACACCGTTCAGGGTGCATGTTTTCTGCGACAATCAGACAGTCGTTGACCATGCCCAAGCCCTCTTCGTGACAGGAGAGGTTGACCCTTCATGGATGTGCCAGGAGTGGTGGCAATGCTTGCAGACTTTGACCCAAACCAGGAGGCAAGAGCACCCTTGCCCATTTCAGGCCACATGGATTCCAGCTCATTGTTTTGAGCATCTGCCCATTGATGCCATCACACCAGCTATGGCTACCAGTCGGCAGACCACAGTTCGGAACATTGAACGTAACAGGATTGCCGATTTGACGGCAAAAGAATATGCTGCCTCTCTTTCACCTGTTCATCCACATATGCAACATGCTGCTGATCGTGGAGCCCTGCAACATCAAAAATGGCTGGCTAAACTGCATGAGCTTTTGCCTACCACTGCGCCGGTGCATGAGACGAGCTTGCCGACGCCAGTAACGGATTGCTCTTTTGACTCCTACCAGGCCTTGTTTCCCCAATGGCCGTGGGGTGCTGACATTCGCAGTTACAAGTGGAAAGCGAAAATTCCGACTGCCTTCTTGAAACCTTCAGAGTGGGATGGATCACCTGGTGAGTGGGAGACTGTGTGTGCCTTCCTACGCAATTTACGTTGGAATGTTAAGGAGGATGAGATCACTTCCATTTGTGAACTGACAGCGCTGTTCCATTTTTCAGCCCACAAGTTTGATAATAGAAGTCCTGAAACGACATACCTGGACTATCACAGGAAACTTCGAAGGGCCATTGTCTTGCTTTCTCGTTCTGTCCTAGTTCAAGCAGTTCCAGGAACGATTTCCGCTACCTTGGCCAAGGCGGCAGGTCGAACGATGCCGCAAGGATCGATTGTTGGAGCCTTTCCGTATGTTTGTGACGATGCTTTGATTCACCTTGCCCGCATTTTTGAGGGTGGCGCTGGCCGTACGCTTGCATCTTGAGAGTTGCCTTTGTTGTAGGTCGCTTTTGCATGTCGAGGGCTCTTTGTCCTCCATGGGGTTTCATCTTGTATTTAGGTCAGAGAGCCTAGTACAACACGGGCTCGTTTCACGAGTTGATCCTGGTGCGCGTGGTGATATATATATATATACATATAAAGACGACCAACCAATCAGCGCAGCAGAATGCGCTACTGTACAACCCCCGGCTTAATGGAAGGTTTGTTAGGGATCCACCAGATTTGATGAGAATCCCCAATCTTTTGAAGCTACTAGTAGCAAAGGGCATCGCTACTAGGAGCCAGGACGCTACTAGTAGCTCCTGGCCTTACTACTAGTAACAAGACCCTACTAGTAGCAAGGGCATCGCTACTAGCAACAAAGGGCATATGACTACTACTAGCAAAGGGCATCGCTACGAACGTAGCAAGGGCCTTACTACGCCCGGAACCCGCTCCGACCCCGCCCGGAACCCGCACCTGGCGGATCAGCTTCTCACAGCGCCACATCTGCACGGCAAACAACGCCGCGGAGCCCAGCTCCAGGACGTCGCCTACGGCGGTTGAACGAGGTCAACGGCGTGGAACCGTTTGGTCCACAGTGGTGGCTGAAGTGCTGAACCACGGAGTGGGATAAGGTCAAAGACGGACACCAAGCGGGATTAAGATCAATAGCCGGGTTTGCTGAGCATTGAGTATGCGTCTTTGTGTAGCAGGTGGAAAAAAACATCCTGAACATCTTCCGTCTTTCAAACTTCGCTATTAGGTTGGAGGCCATCGCTAGTAGGGGAGGCCATCGCTATATATATATATATATATATCGCTACTAGAAACAAAGAAAAAAGAAAAACATGTCTAATTTTAATATATTTAAGTAAGTCCTACACGCCAAGGCGCCGAAGCTACAGAAGGCGCCCTGCAAGGCATTGGGCCCAACAAAGAGGGCAGTGCCCATGGTCGCCAAGCCCACCTTGGAAGCCCAACAATAGCCAAAATACATCATCGAAAGCGGCAGTCTCTGTTTTTCTTGGCGCTAAAACAAGACGAAAGCGGCAGTCTCTGTGGTCACCGAAAAGCATGTAACTTACGAAACTGGAGAGGTCCACCCGTCGGCGAGTTTGGAATAGTTTGGACTCCAAAGGGCGATCCATCTCATACCGTCAAGGACGATCCTCTACAACCAAAGGTGACCTTCCGCGCTCACGTTCCACCTGGCGCTGGGTGGTTCGGGACATCTACACTTCAGACCAATCCCGGATTCAGACAATTGCTTTCTCATGTTTTCTCTCTCTATCTCTCTCTCTCTCTCTCTCTCGTTCTCTGTAAGGCCTTTCAACAGAGCAGTATAATCGAAATGTTTTTTGAACACCCTCTAAAGGAGCCTCATCTGCTCTGTTTTGTATCCGCAATTCTAGAAGCAATAGGTATTCAAAAAGGTTCAAGCTTCGTCACCGATCCCATCACCTGCGCAAAAAGACTTAAGCAATCAGTTTGCCTTCCTGCCGGTAACTCCAGTACCCACGATACAGTTCCAAAACCGTCGGACTTCCGGCTAACACTGGAGGTCAGGACATGTGTTCAGAACTGACGATCTATCTCCTGGACATCCAGCTTGTGCCACAATCGTTGCACCCAGCAAACCCAACCCAGTAGTGGCTCTGAATTTTCCGGCAGTCTTCCGACAGTCCTCCAATCATTGGAAAAGAGAAGAAGGGATAAATTGGTAAAGTTATTTCTTTAGCAATCATAGAGTCACACTGGTAATAAATAATCAGCCGGCTGGCCTGGCCTGACTAAGCAATGCTGTTCCATTCCGCGTCCGTCTGATTTCACGCGAAACCCCGGTGATTCCCGGCATGCGGCGGAGCCCCAGGTGAGCTGGCTGATGCGGCGACCATCCAAAAGGCTCAAGAGAGGTACCAGCCTTGGAGGCGAAGACATCAGGGAGGGAATGACGTCACGGAGGCAACAAGATCTCCTGTTGGATGGCGAAGAGATCATCTTCTAGATGAAGGCAATGGGAGGCGAATGCAGTTGAGCAGTTGAGCAATGTGGAGCAGCTCTTCAACTCTTCAACCCTTGAATTTTTTGGCAGGCTCAACAACCTGCAACACCGACCAAAAGCTTGGGAGACCTGCCAGTAGGGCGTTTCATCTAGAAACCCAAGCCTCGGCCTATCTGGCAGCCACTCAGCCACTTGGATTTGCTCATCTGTAGAACCCCCTTATGCCATTATTGTGCATGGGCTTAGGAGTCTCCAACACCAGTTCTTCAATACAAAGGTGTCCTACTGAGTGAGAAAAAAACACTCCACTACTGTCACTACTTGAGATGCAAAGAGTTTTCTGAAAATTGCCGGTATCCTGAGGTGGTCTTCAGGATGGTTGCCTCCAACACCTACAGTATTGACTAGGCCGAATCTCCTATAATCATCAACCTCCAATCCAAACAAATCAAACCCCCCGTCGTCCGGACATCCCGGAAAAAGAATTGAACCAGGCCAGACTGTGCTTAGTGAGAAAAAGCGGGGGGAGCAAAACAATGCCCAAAATGTCCAACCCCAAGCTATGCATGGAACCGCGGAAAAAAGAACATGCTGCCTCCTGGGCCACCTCACACAATGGTGAGGCTCCCAAGTAAGGCGCCACTGGAGGCGGTGGTGTATTGCAAGCCGACCGCTTGGAGCATGAAGGCCAAGAAGAGCCAAACCTCGGGCGACCCGTCGCAGGGAACACCCAGCGAAAAGGAGGACGTGCTTTTTCTTTCAGCCCGCCCTGCCCTCCTAAAACAAAGAGACAAGTAGGCGCCTGCTTAATGAGACTTGCTTCATGAAGTAGGCGACTACTTAATTAAGGGAGTTCGCTCCTAGCTAGGACGTAGGATAGCTCACGCTCGCACTAATGATTTGGTTCCTAGATGTTTAGGGAAACTTAACTTGATCGAGATGACTCTATGTGCTTGAAGCGTCTAGGTGGTCGTTTCATGTCTTGAACATTTCAAGAAATATGTGTTCCCGGTGGGTACCTTCAAAATGTTGAAGGAATTCAAGAGTCATTTCCAGTGCCAGTTCCCTCCACCCGCTCATGCAAAGCCGCTGCCAACTCTGCACCGCAAGCAAGGATGCATCCTGGCTCTTGAGTTGCTGGAAAGCAGGGGCTTGACCAAGGCTCCCGTTGTGTTCAGGGGATACCCTCGCAGCACCCTGCTTGAATCCTGGCTGTATACCACTAGTCACTAGACCTACTGACCATGATTCCTTGAATTTGGCCTTGTCTTTGTTTCTTCGAGCACCACAAGCCCGCAGGCCAAACCCACGTTCCAGCTCAGCCCAGAGGAAAGCACCCGTTCCGCATGACCGACGCTTACAACAACAGCATGACCGACGCATCAATTTCTGGGTTTCCTAAAGGTTCATCAAGCGTGACCGACGCAGCGAACCTCCTTCTACTGGAAGACGTGCAGTGTAGGATAGAAGTTGTAGTTGTCACTGCTGAAGAGTATTGGTATGTGAACGTGAATTCAGGATAATTAAGGGTGCAAAACGGTGCATCTTCGTCCCTTCCTCCGCTGTCTTCGGGTCAACAAGAGCCCCTTCTTCATCAGCATCTCACAAAACCTACAAACAAAATGATTTGTTCAATTTGTGGAATCTGCAAATCCACATGCCAAAAAAACACGTCCATTGTCTGCTTCATAGTGCCAGCATGCCCTCAACATGTTTCAACTGTCCTCGTTCGCCCGGAGGTCCCCGGATCGCCGGTCCTTCGTTCTGGGCGTCCGTGGACGCGACGCCCCGCGGCCGTTGGGACATGGCCACGAAGAACATGGCGATCGCCGCGATGCCGAAGCGCAAGGACATGCACCTGGTTGCGGCTGAATGACCCTCACCATCCACCATCCATCACCTGATTCTTTCTTCTATTTAATATATATATATACGTATAAACATAAATAAACGATCTCCTCTTTTTTGAGAACGGCAATCACCAGACATACCGGCAAGAGCTGGCTTCTTCACCCCATCTGGGCGATGCTGGACATTATGGAACACCGACATCCTCGAATCCGAGAGCAGCCCTCCTGTCTTCCTCTGATATTTCCTGGGCGTCTCCTTTCGATATTGGATTGCCCTCATTGGAGACGCTCATGGATTCACCGGGAGATCGAATTCCTGGATTCGTGTACCGTGTAAAAGTAAATAACGGATATAGTTCATCGCAGCCTTAAAGACTTATGGGTTCTATGCGTGTTTGGATAATATGGCCTTTGCAATGTTTCTCGACAGCTTCAAGTGATCCGCCTGTGCTGTTGCAAAGCCCCAAGGTGTGAGGGTTGCGCCCAAAATCACGGCAACTGGGGATGAAGCTGATGATAGCACGTTGTTCGTTGTTCTATCACAAACAACTGTGAGATCTTCGAGCAAAAACCCAGTCCATGGCATCGGGTCTTGGGTTTTCAGCTGCCCCTGACTACTTGCAGGACTTTGATCTTTGATCTATGTATATATATATATACATGTTACAAATTTATGATTACATCCACGCAAAACCGCATGTACCTGTGCATAAAAACGCATTATCCGCATGCCGCATGTATCCGTGCATGTATCCGTGGGGTGTGGGCCGGGCCGGAGATGAGCGCCATGAACCGCTGGTGTGAAGGAGTTGATCCTCTTGGCTTCGACGATTGGAACTTGGGGATGCCACCACTAGTACTAGAGGTCATCCAATACGAACATCAGGCAAAGAACAAGAAGCTATCCATCGCGCCAGTGTTTGCATCTTCGGTTTCCAGTGTCTTGATGAGGACCTGATTGCCTGGGCGCAAATGGTGAAACAAAGACCGAACCCGTGACAAGATCGGCCCATGCTTCTTTGTGGTTTGCAGTAATTGCTTTCGTGGTCTCAATCTTGAAAAAGAATTGCTATCATCGTTGTCATGGGCCCCTGCTGGGGCCATGGCCGACTAGTGACTAGAAACCCAGGCACGATGAACCTTCCAAATCGTGTTCGCAGGTCTTCCGTGATAGCGACGCACTGAAGCACTTCTGAGACAAACTATATACAGTAATTTATCCCTTCAAAACTGGTGATCTAAGTTCTAAGCAACAAGTTCTCCTTCCAACCCATGGTATCCCCTGATGGTTTGCGCAGTAGTTATGATCAATCGTTATGTGGCCCTTTCACAGGCCGGACGCCAAAAAGGTTGTTTGTCCAAAGGAGAAATGTCTGGCAGCTTCCAAGCCGCTTGACTGAGGAAACCCTTCTTTTTGTCGCACGAAAACTCCACTACGCAAAGTCCAGGGTAGACGTTGCCATACGCCAGGTGGCTGCCAAACAGCATGGTCACCACGTTCAGCAATGCCACCCCGCCTGTCTCCGACCTGCAGAAAGGAAGAGCCCTGCAAAGGCACCATAGGGGCCAAGTGGAAGTCAGAAGCCCAAAGCTCTCCACCACCCATATGTTCAACAACACAAATGCTGCTGTGGATGCAAGTACTGCTGCTGGATTGGAGGATTGGAGGAACATCCCAAAACACCTACAGAAGCTACAAACCCATATATCCGTTTGCAAATCTTCTCTCTCTTCTCGCTTTCTCAAGGAACCAAAACAATCCGGGTCTTGGGATCATCTGTCGCTCAACCGGCGGTGCAATCTCGCAACCTATTCGCTAAAGGCACGGTTTCACATTTCAGTTCAAAGCTACATGTGGGATCATGTGAGTCAACAAAAGTCTTGCCCTTTTAACTGAATACTTGTGGTTGGTCGATTCGTCTTGTAGGCCAGGTATACGGAAGAGGGGATTCCGGGGATTTTTCGGATACTCTGCGGGCAGAAATCTCCTAATAAGCCTGCCGCTCATAAGAAGAGACCATTTTGCCACCATACAGTACCATCTTGATTTGGTGGGTTCGCAAAGCACAAACATGCACTCTTAAAATCTCTTAAAGACACGGAAAAGACTGTGAATGCCACAACCCCAAGTTGTCAAGGCAGAGCGGTTCACCCGTGGCCCGTGACCTGTCTTGACCACTGTCTTTGCTCGGTGTCACCGAGCTCCGAGAGCTTTCTATCCAGGCCTAAGCCACTGCGCATCCCCAGCATTGCGCACGCAGGCCGCGCCGCGCGCGGGCGCGGGCGGTGGCGCGTGGGAGCCGTGGGAGGCGCGTTGAGGAGCTACGAAGCACAAGCCCAGCACCAGCAGCAAAGGCAGCAGCCAAAGCCTTCTTCGGGTGGCAAAGCGCGCCATGGGCTGCAATCTGAGCTGGACGCTTATCAAAAGTTCGCCCGAGAGGACATTGAATCTAACGACCTCTATAATAACTCTATAGCTGTCTTGAGCTTGTATTAATGCTCTATCAAGTTCTTGAACTTTGAACCTATCTTTGTTTCTGGGATGGTGCTGCGCCTTTGGTCTCTCCAGCTTGCCATGGATATCAGTTAAGGGCAGGTCAATCATCAACCATCAATGACTTCCAGCACTAAAAATGGCAAGTCTCATCGAACAAGTCTCATTACCCCGAACCTTTTGCTTCCACCTCCTATCTATGAATTATAAAATTATAGCTGAGCCAGTCCACGGCGCGGGCATCCCAAGAACTGAAAAAAGAAGTGCCAGCTTGGGACCGAAAGTGAACCCTACCTATGGCCACCATGCCGATGATCAAGGCCTTCAAATCAATGGTTGCAGGTCATAAGGTGGGGTGTTTGGCTTGACCACAATGGTGTCCAATACCATTTTGGGTGGGAGTTGCTTGGTCTATATTGCTGTTCTCACTAACAAAATCCATTGTGGCCCATGTTGATGGGCACGGTCCCGCTATTGATATTTACCCTAGATTCGGTGCAGTTGTGAACCTTCGTCGTGATGCGGGCATATCCAATGGAGATCTTCATAGTCCAACGTGAGGTTCTCCGCACAGGTCCAACCGCTAAGAATGATCTGCTGAGCTTTTGAGACAAATCCAAACGATTTTGGAGGTAAACGGCAACCCAGAGGGCCTTGTTCCACTTCCATGTTTGCACCCCAAACAGCAGAGTTGTAGATGGATGTAGATCGCACTTTTGACAGATCGACCAATTTGAATTGACAAGCAACATCTGAACAGCTTGAAAACGATTCCTTGCATTCGTGAGCTCCCAGATCTCAGTCCTAGAAATTAAACTCTGGACTGACTGCTTGCCCGTGTACTAAATACTCATGCGGCATGCGCTTCTCAACCATACTTGAACGCTTTGAACAGCTAGAAGAGAGGTGCAGTTTTTGGAGGTGACCCAGCTGTTTCCGCACACCAGAGCCCCATGCTGAACCCGCTTCACCCTGCAACTCAACGCCCAAGCTGCATCTCCATGAACTCCTTCGTCAGCTGCAAAGCTTTGAAGGAAGGCTTCCCAATGGCCGCCTCCAAACACGCCCCCGAGCGGTGTGGTGCTAAAGGTTGTACATTGATCTTGAACATATACAAACTCTTAAGCCTTAAGCCAACAAAAGCACCCACTTATATATATATATATCACGTTTCCCACTACTGAACAACAAAACTGCGTCATCAGTATCGGGTTCACCGGTTGATATGAACTTCCCGCGCCTGGAGGGAGTCGTAGACCACCAAAACAGATCGAGGGATCTCTGTCTGGAAGCCATGCCTGTCTCAGAAAAAGAAAACCGAACACCAGTCAACCACATCATCTTCCAGGAGTATCCTCTTTACTCTTTACATTACTGTGATTTTGTTATGCGCTTGCAAGCTTTCCTTGTCCTCATGTCGTTGAGCGAAAAGTTGCACTCACAATCCCTCTAGGTTGCCCAGCTGTGAATGAATCACGTCTTTGTTGATGAACCTCAAGTCGCCGGAGACGCAGTGGAAGAAGCAGTCACTCTCCCAAGCTGGGATGTTTGCGGTAAGGATGGAGGGGATGGAGGGGAGGAATACTTGGTCAATAAGATAGATCCCTGAGGATCTATCATCCGCAGAACTTGTCATTGAAGAAACCACTCGGACATCTCTTGCTGGCATCTCCTCTAGTCTAGATGAATCCCCCCGGGTCGTTGTCTCACATATGGTAATATGGTCCTTGAGTCCCAAAGGCTGTTGTTGAATGCTTTTTGTGGCACTATATAAGGGTCACTGAGGAAGCCTTAAAGGGTACTGTAAATTGGAAGGGGTGAGGACCAAAAGAGTTGGCATCTGAGAAGCGATCTTTCAGGACCAACGACATGGCTGTGGACACACCACGACATGGTACCAAAATCCAAGGCTTCAACCTCTGGTGCCGCACTCTGCGGAGATTGAAAGATACCTGACATGAAAGAAGTCCGTTCTCCAACACCACCGTGAGCGGCGCCACTCGCGAACGGCTGAGGTCTTGCACTGGCCCAAGTGCGTGGTTTGATACCATCCGACGGTGTTGGAGTCCACGTTCACCTGGCCCAAATGCCGCTTTTCCAAGCGGAGAAACTAGGATCCAAGAACCATTTCAAAAAATATCTTAGAGGGTATTGGAATTGAGGGCAGGAGTAGTCTCTTGAGGGCCAGTTAGCTGTTTCGCTAGCTTAAGAAACTGTCGTCTCTTCAAAGCCCTGCTTGACCGCCTCTCGTAGCTTCCTCAGCGTGTCCTGACGGGTACTACCCCGTGTTGGACGATCCCCCGGTAACCCGCCCAGTGGAGTGCTTCGTGGGTGATCGCCAGTGCTGTCTCCCTTTCAGGGCTCCAGGGTTGCCCTCCAAGCAGACAGTTTTCTCCCCTCTTACGTAGGTCAACGATCAGCTGTGGGTCTTGTCGCTCCAAAACAAGGCAACCTGAGCTGCCTTGGTCTCAGGCCCTAGGAGCAAGGACGCTACGAACGGGGCTCCTGGCCGTACTACTAGGAACAAGAAGCTACTAGGGGTCCTGGCATCGCTACGAGGTCTTAGATATCAAATAAAAAGCGGGCTTTGATTGCAGGGTAGACCCATCGTTTGACCCACCAAGATACACTCTGACGAACACAACCATGGAAGTGGAAACATAATAGGTCCCTTGGGAAGAAAATTCTCTTCTGAAAGGTTCTAGAATCTAGAAGAATCGCACAATTCATGACACTTTCCACACAGTGATGAAGAATTCTCCCGTCGACCGAAGTGTTCGGTCCATCTGAAACTGCACGCCCTCGTCCATCTGTGCCGTTGTCTCTGTCTCCGCACCTGCAGCGAGCGAGACAAAGCGTCCGAGGGCAGGAGTCGTCGAACCATCGATAGAACTACATCACGACAAACAACGTCATAATATAAGTATCCATAAATAACTCAAAACAACCGTCTATTCGACTGAACAAAAACAGGGGAAGTCCTTTCAAGTGCCGAGCTCAGGTTTCAACCCACCCCTACAAGGTAGGCACCGTCCCAAAAAGAGTGTATATACATACTACCGGCACACCGATAAGTGCCTTTCTGCACGTAGCCGAAGGAGTGGGTGAGCTGCAGGACACTGCCAACATCCATTCCCAGCAGCTGTCCTTGCAATGCACATGAGCACTTCTGCGCACCAATAAGACAGGCAAAAACAACTCAATGATACTGATAGCTGTTTGGCAAAGTCAACCCGAAGCTTCTGCTGCAGATGGAAGCTTGATGAAGCTTGCAGTTGCTGGCAGACTCTCCGAAGGAGCAAAGGAGGGTGTATAAAGATTGACCACATTCATAGTCCCCAGATTCTGTACTTGTTGCCCCATCCATGAAAGCCCGTGAACAAGTATGCACTATGCTTTCTGATTGTCTTCCCTTCTCTCCAGCTGTCCAAGAATGCCCTGGATGCTACAAAACAAGGTCATACCACACCAAATCCTACAGTAGTGTCTAACGAGGAACAATCAGTAGCTGAGCTACAAAAGGCAAGAGCCTGCTTGCTCAGGTCTTGACTCTCTCATTTCTATTTGTTATGCAAATAAGAACGAGAAATAAGATGTTGCAAAGTGTTAATATATATAAAGACGAAAAAGACACAAAAAAACCCTCTCCTGTGACTGGCTGGGGGGCGTGTTGCCTAGCACATGCGCGGCTGAATAAGATCTCGCTTGGATCATCGACCGGTTCCGGTGCGGCTCGGCTCTAGCTGACTAAGGAGAACTGACGAGGTTCCTGAGATGATGGATGACATCAGGACACTCTAGTAGTGCACGCGGCGAAGTGAACTGGCGATAGGTTCTTGGGAGTTCACTGTTCGGTTTGGACCTATAGACAGTTCATCGCAGTTCCATGGGGAGTCGAACTCTCCCCAGGGCCCCAATGTCTTCACCTCGACCCTATGACGTGGGTGTGATCGCCGTCACTTTCTCTCCGCAAAATCAACCGTGCTAAATGAACTGGCTTTGGACTTTGCATGACTTTGTCACTATAACAAATCTTGGACTGCTTCCGCCGTTCGTATTTTCCTGACCCGTACCGGGACTCCGCGGCACAGGTACCAAAGGCAAACCGGGAACTTAGTGTGGAAAACAAACGTTGGCCTAACCGAGTGGAATTGGAGGAGCCCTCCACCGGCATTGCTAGCAGCATCCACTGTGGCCGTAGAAGCTGTACCATCACTACATAACATTTGTTGCAACGGAGCTCCGCCCAGCCAACAGCCTAGGAATCGGTTGACAGTTTTTCGAACAAACACTTGAGGATTTCTCCTCGCCAAAACGGAACACTCCTCGCGTTAAGCAGCAATTCCTCCACCAAGTGCCAAGTGATGCTCCTAGGATGGCCGCAAACATGATGGGACAAGAATCCCGCCTGCAATGCTTCATGATCTGCAGGAAGACGAGAGCGTCCATCTCGACCTCCAAGTGTTCGGAAATCCAAACTGAGAGTATGGAGTTACCTCCCAAACCTGCTCACGCTGCTAAGGTATCTGAGACTGTTGGGTCAAAAAGGGTTTGGTCCAAAGACCTTTACAGTAAGTGGGTGTGAAACGGGTGAAGAATCCGCAGGTCCTCGCGAGGCCCCTAAGCAAGCAGGCTAGTCCAGCAAGCTAAACAAGCTGCTTTTGCACCATGGAGACTTGAAAGGCAAAGAGTAGCATTCCCTAACCCACGGGTCCAAGACCTGCTCTCATCCATCTCTATATATATATAATAATCGATCTCTATATATGCATTACTCAGCCGAATAGGATAAGGACTCCGAACGCTATCAGGCTTTGCTGTCAGCCGGGACTCCGAACGCTCACGAGGTCGCCCTCGCTCTGCTCGGCATCTGGCACCGGGTTGTAGAGAAAATCAGGGGGTCCAGAGCAACATAGGACCCTAAAGGGTGGTTGATAGGACCCTTACCCGCTTACCCTTCGGTTTACCATGCAATAATCATCGTCTTTGGGTGGTCCAGAAATGGTGTTCCTTTTCTGTGTTCTTGTTTTCAATCTTACATCCAGAAATGATCAATGGCTGGAAACTGTTTCCAAGTGTTTGATCCTACTTGGAGAATCCCCATGAAAAGCTGTTTGAATAAGGGAAAGTGGGCCAGCTTGCGGATAGCCAGAGAAGTGGATGGCATGCCCGGCCCCCTCGGAAGAAACGTGTCCTTTCCCAGTGGCCTAATGGAGTCTTTTCAACCTTCCAGTGGCCCAATGGAGTTGATGTTAGGGCGGTTTAAAAAGGGGTTTCACAAGAGGTCAATGTGGGTATATGATATGGAGTGTTTGGATGATTGATGATTATTGAGGGGGCTGTCAACACTCAAAAACACCCACAACTCCCCAGGTTTACTGGAGATGAACACTACTACTGCTTGGTCTGCTTGGTGGCTCCTTCACTTTTGCCATATCCACTGTGTGGGTATGGCCCTTTTTTGAGTGACCTACATGGCGTTCAGTTCGATTCACCGAGTTGGGAACAGCTATGGTGCCTTGCAAAGAACATTACTACTAGCACATCCAAACCATCCCAACATGTCCCACCCAACATGACTTTCCACGCCAAAAAAGAGTCATTAAATTTAGACGTTCAATTGTGTCTTTTCTCCACAACAAGTTCTAGCCTGCCTTTGGTGGGGACCATGGGGGACTCAAGGAAGATTGTCTTCGGGATTCAAGCCCTCCACTTTCGACACCCGTTGTTTGAAGCTGAGTGACACATATCTTTCATACCTTTCACTTGGAGGATCAAAACCATCATGTGTTTGTTGGGCAAAGGTCCTGTCTGGTCCGCTGGGATCCCAAACTGTAGCCACTCTCCAAGGAATGTCGGTACTGGTGGATCTTCTCCTCACCTGGTGGGCGCTGGGATCCGAGACAGGATGGGAGGACGGCAAGCAGCAAAAACACTGAAGGAAGACGAAGGATCCTTCTCCAGTATGAGGTGTCATTTTAAGCGTATATATATATATATTTATATATTGATAGGTGTCACAAGAATTTTCTCCGTTCTAAACAGAAGGATGAAAGGGGTGCACAATCCTCGCGAAGTTCAAACAAAGCAACGGCAAACAACCAGTAGAGAGAACATGGAACAAGAAAAAGACTCTGGATAAACTACCTTAACAGGAAAAATATATATAATGTGTGAGTGTTCCGCAGACAGTGCTCCGCTACTTCCACATTACAGTACCGTACTTGAGGAAGATTGTTGTTTTCCCCTATGGTGTCTCTGCTTAATTCAGGTTGTCAGGGGAAGGGATTGCTACCGACGATGTGTCTCGTCTCTTTGCATCCATAGCCTACCCCTGTGTTGGCGTTTTGCAAGGCTTTTTGCCTCCAAAGTGCCTGGTGTTGGCGACCAAGCCAGTCTGTTTTGCGGTGCAGTGTAATCTTGCATGTGTGCAAGGCGCTATTGCAATTGCATGGTTGGTCTCGAGCGTCTAGTTCACAAGGAAACGTATTTTCGGGGCTGGGCCAATCCAAAAGGCTGCAGTTGGACATGAAGAGCGAGAGCAGCTCTCAGACCAAACCCGAACCCCAAACTGGAAGTTGTTCACCGCGCCTGCATCATCCCGGCGCTTGCCCCAGCCTTTGCCTTTGCTTTCCGACATGGCCAAAAATGGGGGGCACGAGGCACTTGAGCCGGCTGAGTGCATCAACATCTTTCGATTGCACAATCTTGATACTCGCCCTCGTGTGTTTATTCCATGTCATACGGCCTCGATTGATGCTTTTGGACATCCAGGCCGTCCAGACATGTCGGTCCTGGAGTAAGACCTAGACCTTCCTCCAATCGGTCCATGCGGAGCGTCCCGACCAACCCATACGACCATTGCATTCAGCGAATTGCCTGCGGCAAAGAATGTATCACTGATGACTGATGTTCGGCGGCAAAATCGACGGTCCATCTATCATTGAGGATCAACAAGGCGAACGATAGCATACATAAACCATATATGCCGGCCTTGAATCCAGCGACCACCTAGGTCTAGTCACGGTCGCTCACAGTTACACCTTCCTATCGCTCGGTCCATGCTCCTCACTGAACTCCACCTCAGGATGGCCAATTGCCTGCCGCGGTGAATGCCAACCAGCAACATAGATTCCAAGTGCCTACTGTAATTTGAGGCGACCTTACGATGTTACGAGAACTTGTTCTTGGTCAAAGCCTAAACCAAAGTGGTGCATTCAATTCAAGAGACACCCAGCTTGGGTTTATCGAACTGTTGGGAAACAGAAAGCTCAGTCAGAGCTCGGGCAAATTTCCCGGCTGGGTCTGTCTAGCTTCACGTCGTTCGCTTTGCAGTTGTTTTTTGCGGTTTCACATCGAAGTCCAAGAGGTTGTAAAAAATCCTTTGAACATGAGTACAGTAAACCATCCTCAACCTCTGGAACATGTGCTATCCTCACAAGGTGCGGCACAACAGGCTTGACAGGCTTCACTGCCTAACACCAGCTCAACTGGCTCAAAACTAAAACTTGATATAAATAATAGGTCACAAGAATGACTCATGGCCAAGATCTTGGAACCATTCACACTGGCAATCCATAGTGGCGAAATGGTCGTCCCAACGCCTCAGGGAGTTGCTCCAAATAGTGCACGAAGTCCTTACAGAAAGAAGCCGAGGAATTGCGTTTTGGTTCCGAAATCACGTGCAGAAGCGGTCAGTTCAGGTTTTGTGTTTTTGTATTCATGCTCGTTCTCATGTTCAGTTCTCTTCTGATCGGGCGAAGGTAGAGAGAGAGAGAGAGATGTTTCACCCTCAGTTGGAGACATACCCAAACAGCACCTAAAGTTTGGACGCGTACCCATGGATCTTCCAACTTGGCATGGTGACTGTCATGGGCATTTATCTTCGACTTCCCGGCAGAGATGCTGCTCGGTTAGGCGGATAGGCGGCCAAATGGTAGGCACAAAGGTGAAAGACCCACCAATGTAGCATATCCAACTGAACCAACTGAACAAAATGCTCCTTGCAGGTACAGAACATGAGGACTGCGTACATTTGACATGGTTCAGCCGCTATGCCGTGGCCACCGCGAGAACACAGAATATTAAATATTGCTAAATATTACTAATCCCATTGACCCCAGGAACGACACAAATTCTGGCCATCTATGACCTATTCACCGGGTACATATAGCCCATTGACAGTCTCCACGTGGGGGACTCTGATCCAACCACTTCTGTCGGGGTCGCCGCTGAGGCCGCGTCTGCCTCGCTGATGGGCTTTCCACCACCCGCCTCGTTGAAGAGACCGGTCACATCAAGGCCTGAGCCGTGGAGTCACGGCGCAGGCTACACGGCGCTGATGGGAACGGACGGTTTCTGGAAGAGGGGACCAAATCTCTTCAGCAATCTGGCTTTCAGAGTCCAAGTACAGCGTATCTTGATAGGTGGTGATTTGTTGTAACGAGCTGGGGGACCAGACACCTCAGTTTGCTTGACATTCCCGCCACTGGATGTGCCCAGGAACCATGGTGCGATTTAGGGTCGACCTTCCAAGAAGGGTACATCTGAGGATTCGCTCGCGGCCGGGGTCTTCGCTCTAAAATCCTCTCTGTCCAAAAAATGTCCCCCTGGCCGGCCCTGGCCCTGCTGAAGAGCTCTCTCTCTCCTCTCTGAGTCTCTGGGCAACCCAAACTCTTTTCTTTCCCATGAGCCCTCAAGGCAGAAGCCAAAGTCCTCAAGCTTCCAGCCACCTGGAGAAGCACTCATCAGGTGACTCAGAAGAAACCGCCAGCTTCGCAGCTGCCGCCGCCGCCGGCGCTTGTGGGGCTTTGGTACAGTGTCATGAGGACGTGTGGCGCTTGCGTTGTCAAAAGCAAACATCCAAGAGGCACAAGGACGTTCGACAACAATTGGAGGGTCCTTGCTAGAATCGTACTATATAATATCACAGGGGTCATTTCAAAGGCTTTACAATAGAGTCCAGAAACCTCACTAGTCTGCGCCGTTCTGAAGCCAGACGGGCCTCAAAGGAAGACTTCACCCTGGTTTCATCGGCAAACAAAAGGAAGAACAAAACCAATAGCTCTGGGCCTCATGTTCGTTGTCAATGCCTTTTTCAATCCTCTCCGTCCATTGTCATTTGGGTCTTTGGGGGCGATCCACGGCTTTTTTAAGGCTAAAATCCAAACCACCAGTTACAAGGCAATGTAGTTTGGGCACGTGGCCCTTGATGGTACACTTACAAGAGTGATGTTACAAGGTTCCCCTTGATGTAAAGTTCAATGTAGCTCGGACCGATTCGACCAACTCTCGATGTGACAAGTACACCAAAAACCACCAGACCAGACAGCATGAGCATGAATCATAGTCATAGTATCTAGAACAGGACATCCACATCCACATCAACAGGCTTGCACCACCCTTGCGCCGCCCCAAGATCTCGTTCGTCGTTTTGCACCGTCCAAAGACCGGGTGCCGCACCAGGAATTCTTCGCCGCCCTTCTCCAGCAAAGGGATGCAAGCTTCCTCTGCTGCCTTCACCTGACGGCTGAGAGCGGCCGTCACATGCGACGGTCAGCACAGCAAACATCCCAAAGATACGCAGAACCGTGTCACGACTGGACATGCCGAATTCCTATGAAATTCTACATTTTATCTTGCCCACAAAATCGTGGTGGCAGGTTCGGATTTGACCCAGCCCGGTCACAACACCCAAAAGCAATGGATCGGTGAACATACCCCGGTTCTCCATTCAGTTCTTGGGCAAATCAGACCGACGTGACGTCGGGTTTGTTCCGTTCCTGCCGCACCCAGCCACCACCGTTTCTTTCGCCACCTCCGGTTCTAAGGATGCAATCATCTCCTCCACCTGTCGGGCAGTTCTGTGATGGCGTACAGGAAAGTAATCTTCCGGTCATCAGATGCCATCAGGCGAGTTGAGATTTCAACCCGAACAAATGCTTATCGGGGCCACAGTCCTATAATAGAATTGTTAGGGTCCTATCAAAGAAATGCTTGAACAAAAAAACAGGAGTGATGTGGTACATCTGAAGACACGACGATTGGCACAAACGCAACGGGAATGAGCTCGACCCCCAATGTAGGATCACTATCCCCACTTGCATTTTGCAGGATCATGCAGAATTTCACCAATTGATATCAAGGTGGCACCTTCCTTTTATAGTCTCCTTGAGAGCTGTCCGTTTGAGAGCACCTTCAGCCTCATTGACTCATTGCACCAAATCTGCCAGGTCGACCAGCTTTTGACATCCAATGACTCAAGCAGTTAAAGAACGGGGTTTGGGTTATATTTTCGCGAAGAGGCTTTGTTGACCTCGGAAGCTTACGGATTGGTCCTTCTAAACATTGAATCAGTTTGGCAAAGCCAAATGCTATGCCACCCTGATAATCGAGGCCTGGGCCAAGGGCCAGGCAATGTTGTCTGTGGGCTTCCAGAAATTACTCTCTAAGGATGAGGAAAAGAAGGCAATAAGATAAATTGAAACTCTCCAGGTGGTTGTTCATTTGGGGGTGTTAGAAGGTTGCTTTTTTACATCTTTTGGGGGGTCCAATCAGGAAAGGTCACCAAGACTATATAGATGTTTTCATGAAGAGAGATCCCAAAGACTAAATCTCTTCATGAGAAGGCAGAAAGGATCCCAAAGACTTAAGCTGACAAGGATGAGTTAGAGAAAGCACATGCATCAGGCTGTTTCGATTGGGATGAGCTGGATAATGAAGGTGAGAGGATTGGAAAGAATATGAATAGATACATGAAGAAAAGGACCTATGAGGTGGAAGATCCAATGAGGAAGGATCAGGAAAAGCTAGGAAGCTGGAGGAGAAAGATTGCGATTATCTTTTCGGGAAAGGACACTAGAGACATGTGGGCGGAAGTTTATTGGGTGGTGGATTTTTTGTTTCCCACCCCGGGGGGGTGCAAATTGATTTGGAGCGAGAATAAAGTTGCGTAGGATTTCTGGGAGTGGTTTTGGGATTCTGAGGGATTTGGGAGGAACTGTGGCTAGGTCAAGAGCAATGAAGTTCTTATGAGGAGATGGGTCCAGGAAGCATTGAGATGCATTAGAGGTGTTGGAGAAGGAGCCTTAAGATATGGAAGAAGAGTCTTTGGCCACGACGCAGGATGCCAAAATGCAAGATGAGCATCAGACTACACCTGGGCAGTTGGTGACAATGCTCTTCGGCAATGAAGGCAGTGGAACAACATCATGCGAGAGATAAGCGGGCCAAGCACATCATGGAGAAGATTGGAGCAAAACGTTTTGTGCCAATCTTGTGACGATTCCCGGAGTGACGAATACCTTGTGGCCAAAGGCAGAGCCACATGAGTCAGCATCAAAAGCGGGTGTTGGATTTCGGGAAGGGCTTTCAGTTGACAATAGGATGAATCATGGGATGAGTGATTGGTGAAATTAAAGGGGTTAAAAATGGAAGAATGGTGGTTAGTATTGCAAAAGAAATTGGCGGCCCCAATAAAGGTGGACCAAACAAAAAAATGCGACTTTATGGATCCTACATTTATATACATTATGGAAGGTTTGCACTGATTGAATTAAGATGGACTGAAACACCTCACACCTACCTGTCATTTGACATCTATGTTCACCCCAAACCCCCCATTCCAGTGTCATCAGGCTCGGCAAAACACGACATGTAGCGCCGGTTTTTGCCTGCGGTGGGCGTCTTGACCGCGCGTCTGACCCGGCCCCGAACACCGCCTCATGAAGAAGCTTCTTGGCCACGAACTTGTGTTCTCGATTGCTCACCGTCTGCGAGGCGAGCACGCGGGCGGCAACGCGTCGGTCGGTGTGGATCCGATGTCGGCGGGAGTTGCTGTTGGTTGAGAAAGCTGTTGGAGCAGCCAGCAATGTCTCAAAATGGCACTCCTTGAAACATTATAACGTTGAGCTTTCCGTGTCTATGCTGCTTGTTCCAAGTAATGGCATGTAATGGCTCCGGCGGATCCGGTGGCACTCATAGATCGAACAGTCGGTGGTCTCCCTCAAACGCCACGTTCGTAGCGTCCGATCGCTCCGTTCGTAGCGATGCCAGGATAGCCTCTTGTTACTACAAGTAGTAGTAATGCCAGGAGCTACTAGTAGCGTCCTTGATTGACTCAAATTCCAGTCCTAGCCAGTGGTGATACTTTCAGAATCTCACCTCTTGAATTCACATGAATTCACACCCACCGAGTTCGAGAAGTCCACAATATACATGAATTTACAGCCCAACATGTTACCACACGGAATGCCGCCTTCTTGGCTTTGCTCAAGGCAGTGCTGGCAGCCGCCAGGCGAGTCTGCGGAAGGATGCAGGTCCGGGATAGCACATGGGTCTGTCTTCCAAAGACCTCCACGAATGTGCATTCCCCATCACTACTATCAGGCTGATAGTATCAGGACATGCAAGTGGTGAACGGCAACCCCTTCTTCAACATCCCGGCTCGTGCTTCGTGATGTCTGCGGGACCACGACGCCGCCGCATAGATTTGGTGCACCACATAACCGACCATGTTGGGTTGTGTCAAAAATCTGCAACCACTGCTTTTGACAAATGGCCACCATCTGGTCTGGCGCAAGTCAGGTTCAGAGCCAAACTCAATCTCAATGTTGTTGATCTTGGTCATAGTAGTCTTAGTAATGCCCTTGTTACTAGTAGCGATATCAGTCTTCCTTGTTCAGCCCATCTTGGATGGCTTCGCACCCAACCCCCCAGACCAACCTGGAGGCTCTTCACGGTGTCTTGGCTGGCAGCATTGCCCTGGTTTTCCCTCTGCCTGCAATGAGCAGGCACCGGCAGCAAAGGGTCATTCCCGATTCTAGACAGCGACAACATGTGGCAAGTAAGGCTTGGGGTTGAGCACTCTGTAGATATAAATTACATATATATATATATTTATACAGTATTATATTATAACGTTGACTCACTCTGGACCTCCAAAAACCGTACCTCTTTGACCCCAAAAGACGGTTTGACACAAACACCATTCCACAGACTCCCACAAGTTATTACGACATGCCCTTTGGAGTCCGTCACAGATTTTGACAGCTTCCAATCTGTGTGATCCAGCCAGACATCCACCCCTCTTACCATGATCTAGCTCGGCAAGCCATAGGAGCCTTGAACTCCGTAGTGTTCATCAAATGCAGAGCCACTTTGGTCTGATGTCTCCATGGTTGTTGTGGCCATGGCTTTGGCTAATATTCATGTTCCACGAGGGATCTTCTTTTACCCATGGGTGACCGGAGTGTGCATCACTATGTTGTGCCATTCATACTTCAACCATCCTGACATTTGATACAATCAACATCCGTGCTCAGAAGGAACACCAGGTACAAAAAAATGTAGCAGTCACGAAAACAAACAAAACAAACCTATCTGATACAACACCGGTACAACAAACCTCCGAGCTTCCCCTTCTCGCCCACCTCGCTGTCAAGAAAGTCCTTGACTGGTCCACCAACTCCTGTGGTGAAACATAAAGCGAGAAAACCCCGTTGCCACAGCAGGATGAAGACCGCTTACAGTGGTATATGTAGAGCATGAGGACCAGAAACATGAGCTGGTGAGCTCCCGGGCCATTTGGGGAATTCACGGCTTTTGGGGGCTACTCAGCTCGGAGAAAGGCGACGGCTAAGGTTTGGGCAATTTTTCACAATAAGGCCCGAAGAGGGATGAAATGGACCGGAGAACGGGTGATGGTACTTTGCGTTTTGAGCCATAGCCATGCAAGTGCCTCCATGTCAATATATAGGAGCTCCGATCCTGACAGTGTTGCCCAAGTTCGCCACACCAAACTCTTTGGAAGGTCTATGTCTATGAAGCTGCTATTCTGCCTCTTTGACTGTTTCCTCCCAACTGAGAGGTTCAAGCTCTCACGTTGTCACCACCTGAGTGACCGAAACGCTTTGTTTAAAAAAAAAAAAAAGAGCGCCCATCGCCACCGGAAAAGCACTTCTGTCCGGGTCACCTGGGCGGTCTTTGCCTGCTCACCGGCCTTCTCGCAGATCGAGGCCGCCTGGAGAGCCAAGCCGAGCGTCCCGTGGGCGGTCGGAGGGGTTGCCCTGCCGCGATGCCAGGAGCGCCCCATTCGTAGCGTCCGATCGCTCCCTTCGTAGCGATGCCCTTTGTTACTAGTAGCGATGCACTTGTTCCTAATAGCTTCTTGTTACTACTAGTAAGGCACTTGTTACTAGTAGCAATGCCCTTTGTTACTAGTAGCTTCTTGTTACTCGTAGTGAGGCCATGAACACCTCTGAGGTTGAAGAAACTGGCTAAGATTCTAAGAAACACCTCGGCCGCTTGAGCCTGTTCTCAGTGACATGAGAGACCTTTCTTCCCCATCCCCCGACTGGTTGGTTGATCAGGTGATTATTGTCCCTTTTGCAACATGGCAAGTAGAACATGTGCCCTGGATGTTGCTACAAACGAACAGTGGTGATAAAGGGTCGCTTAGCCAACATCTATCCTCTTTGAGGAAATGGTGCTTGTCATGGTCCAATTTTGATTTATTTCAGGATTGTTGCCCGCAAGCCGGCAAGAATGCTACAGTGGGCGGTCAAATCTACACCACCTGCTCCGCCCATCAGATCTGGTTGCATGTTCCCTGTGCGAGGTTTGGACAAGTCCAGTAAAATACGCACCCAGGACAACACTCTCTGACTGTAGTTTTCCTACCACTTCACATGGAACAGTGGCGGAAAAAGAATGCTTGTAGCAGAAAGCCGTGTTCCAGTCAGCAGTGCTCATACTATCCTGAAAGGCGCCTCTTCGTTGCCCATGACCTCTGCCGCCTCAAAAAAGCAATGCCAAGAACCGACGACCCGCGAAACCACCATTTTTATGCAAAGCATCATGCGTCATGCGAGTGCTTGCTGTGTCTTTTCGTGACGAACTACTCAATGTCTACTACATTGTTTACGCTATTTTGTCTGCATCCCGAATCCTATGAAATATGATGAAATATGTCCCAAACACAGCAGGTTCTTGCAAGCTTTGCTGCGGCTATTGTTAGGGTTTGGGTGTTAAGGTTCTTCATGTCTTGAGTTTGTGCTTAGTGAAAGGATATGTTTCTTGGAGGGATCATCGTCAATTTTTCTCAGTGCACCATGTAGATCAATGTCACCTACATCATCCACTAAAACTCACCCAATCTCGTGGGTGATCATTGGTCATCCGATGGACAAAGGCAAGGCCCCTCCTGCGTCTTGTCTCCTCGCTTGCCGTGTTCAGAACGGAGAAAACGCATTCCGTCCGCCTCCTCGTCCAAAGGCGCAGTGATCTCAGTGACCTTGGCCACCTGCCACGGTCACAAACCCAGTAGGTAGCCTTGGGAGTCCAGTGGATAGGTGCAAAAGGGTGCAAAGGAACCTGGACGCGTTGAGGAATCTTCGGGATGTCTTTCAATCTTTTCGGACTCTTACAGGGTGGCAGGATGTTGTATCTGTCAGGTGTCTCTTGGTTCGGAGTGTGTCCTGTGGAGTGAGTGGAGCCATTTCGGTGTCCCATCAGTCTGACCCAGATGGAAACAAAAGTTAAAAGGCACACCCGGCTCAGCATGAGAATGAGATGTGCAATGCCCTTTAGAAGAAGGGTTTTGTTCTTTGCTCTGCCCCTGTCCATTGCCCCTTGTCCTCGCTGTTCCTTCTACACTCGGACTCGCCTCGGCTTCAGCTTTGGCGATCTTCTCACCTGCTTCTTGAAGCTGAGCCGCCTTCCTGGCGCTGCGACAGGGGCGGCTGAAGAGTGTTTCAATGTGTTTCAGATGCCAAGCAGATCCAGAGTTTCAAGGGACATCAAAGGACAAGAGCGACCTGGAAGCCCTGGTTCGTGAACTCATTGGACTTAGGTGAGTACTGGTGAGTCATCACTGAGTATCCTATGCTACTGCCAAACACACCAAATTCAAAATAAAATCCAACAATGAGGACAATGAGGGTCATCTGTCTTGTGCACTCACTAGCAGGGGCAACCTCTTGACTCAAATGGTCACCGAGGTAGGAAGTGTGCCAAGGTGAAACAAAAATCTCAATTACTGTGGCATTCCTGTTGTCCTTGCACAACCGCATGTCTTGAGGCTCCCATTTGCCACCGCCCCTGAGCCCGGGACTTCCGAGCTTCGGTGTCTTTCTTGAACCTCGACTACGGTCGCGGAGGGCAATTAGTTTCCCAGCCCATCAATGTTGTTTGATGTGAGAGCCTTGAAGGAAAGATCCGACGCATCATCTCGGACATCCTGTCATTGCACCTCACCCCACAGAGGTGTTTCCCATATCCCAGCAGCAACAATATCGAACACCCCCCATCTATCTCCACCTCATAGGTTAGAGGAAGAGAGTACTCCGCGACTCCGCTTTCAGCTTCCATGCTGGTTGCTGCCCCTTATGTACTACCAGCGGGTACATGCAAGTCATTGCGGTGCCCACCATGAAGATCGCCCGAGCGGGAGAATTTCTATCTTGGACTTTCCTTGGGGACGCAAGTCATCTACTCACTCTTCACCCGGTCACCCACTGGTCGCCCTGCCCTCATGACGCGCGCTGCTTCGCTGTTCCGACGGGCGTCCCAAACGGGCGAATGGGGCGTCCCGGCGCGCTGTGCTTCCCGCCGGCCGTGTTGATCCGCGCGGTGAGGCTTGTCAGCTCCTGCCAGCATGCGTCCAACCTTTCTATGCCCCATGAGTTTCTGGGAGTCACATCAGAATTACAATAGTATCCGCACCCAAGTCATAGAGGAGGGGCGTAACCAAGTCATAACTCACAATTCTTCTGGGTTTAGCACCTCAAACATGTGACTTCCAATTGTTGGATTGGCTCAAGAACAATGAAATTACAATTTTGAGGGCCAATTGAAGTATGATTCCCAAAATTCCAAAAAGTGTCTCTTAAAATGGGACTTATACTGTAAGTTACAGTACATCTTTTGAGGTTGTTTCATCTTGTCAGTGCAGGTCTCAGCCCGATGTTCTGTATGAATGGTCACCGTTCTCAACCCAATGTGCTGTACCCTTTACCTAGTAACCTAGTACCTCTCTGCGTAGTTCAGTTCACTCGCCTCAGGTCCGTCTGACCGCAGGGAGGGCGCAGGTGAGCCGCAGTGCCCTCCAGGTGCCCACATTGAGCTCAGGTGCCGTGCCCGCCCCTCCCTGATGCTCCGCGACACCACTGGCACTCACGACCCTGAGACTCTTCACCCAACGCGTTGCCCAAGGTTGGGTCCTCAATCAAAGGCTTGGTCTTCTCCTCGGTGAGTGCACTGACACTCGACATAGCAGAGCTGGTTGTAGCTTGTAACCAGGGCAGTTTCCCAACTGTTGGGATGACCTGCGGATGGGTTTCAAAAGCACAAGCTCCAGGCTCGATGGGTGGTTTTAGTTATTGTTCTCTTTCCTCTAGGGCTTGCGAAGCTACAAATTCTTGCCCGATAGGCGCCAAATCCCAAGTAGAGGCTTTTGGGATACTGGAGGTTCATTGAGGGGAGGACCTTCCTTGCCTGGTGCCAGGATAGTTTCAGAAACTGGAGGCCTCTTCGCCACTGGTGTACGTGCCTGGCTGCCTCTGCAATCCTGTGGCTTTAGCTAACAACAGCCTTTTGGCAGGCCAAACGTTTCAGGGCCCTTTGACCGCCAGTGAGTCACCCAAAATCCGGTTCAGAACTCTCAGCTACATCATACTACGTCACTGGACTAAGTCAAGTACATAGGGAACTTGAAAAGAACGAGGAAAATGCCAGGACGGATGTGGGTGCTGTGCAATCCTTCACTTATCAACCTCCCCGAACATACGTGGTTGGAATGATAGCAGCGCACCTGCCAAACTCAGAGAACTAACTAGCTAGGCATACCATGGTATACCTCCTCTTTTCATCTATAGCAACCATGCCTGCAGTCACCCCATTCCAACCTGTTCTCCACCGGCCGTTCGGCCCAACTTGCGTTTCCTCCAAAACCCAGCCGGTTGGGCTCCTTGTCCGAGAAGGCCCTCAACTCCACCAGCTTCGCTGCAATGAAGTTGCGCGCCTCCCGCGGTCACCGCGGTCCGCGGGGCGCGGTCACCGCGGTCCGCGGTCGCCGCGGGCGGTCCTCGGAGATGGAGCCCTGGAGCTCAGTCGCCGCTTTCTCGGAGGCCTCGATGGTGGAGGTGGCCTGCGGCTCGGTCGCCGTGTGGGGTATGCCCTGGGCGTGACCTGCTGGCGTGGCGCATGAATATTGAAGCGAGCGTGACCCTGGGCGTGACCGTGGTACTGGTCAAAAATGCTTCAGGTCTTGGGTGTCGTGATCACAAAGCTCAACAAAACATGTCCCTTGGGTCTATCCCATTACCAGCAACAGTGGATGATGATGGTTAGCAAAGGCCTTGTTCGAAAATAGTGATAATTGTTTGCTGACTGTTGCAGGTAATAGGACAGACCCAACACGTCCTGCCTCAAGACCAACACCAGCTCACAGACTAGCTCACAGCCAGCCTCCCAAAAACTGTGCCAGCACCATCCAGCACCCAACTCGGCAGGTCTCACCCTTGTCACTGGCCCTGTTGGAGGTCTCACTTTGGTGACCTGTTTGCAGGCATTTGTAAATCCATACAGACTCTCTCAAATCATTGGTTCTCCTTCAATGTTTCACTCCTCCACCCCCCCGAAAACACAGCCCGACTCCTTCTCCTTCCAACACCCTGACTCCAACCCACCTCAGTCAGAGGCAACACCTCAATGCCCTTCAAAAAGGGAAGCTCTGCATCATTCACCTCCGGCGACGAAATTCATTGAAACCCACCGGCTCTCATCATCCGATCTCGGCGGAGGAAAGGTCCGGCGGAGGAGTCCTTTCCGGTCGTTTCAGTCGTTGAAAACCAACTTTCACCTCATGAACAGTCGTGGGTGTGGCACGTAAAAGCATGGCCATGCCGCAAAATCAATGTGATAGAAAGGTCTCCCAAGTGGAGTATGTTTGGGGGAGGAAAAGGTGAAACCAGGTGAAACCGTGGCTACCTCGGAACTTCCTGAAACTGACTGTTGCTGCGTCCCCTCATTGTGTGAGACACACTCTCTAACTCTAACTATGTACCTTGTGTTCAGAGTAGATGACACAAAACCACATAGAAGACTCACACTGTGCCATCTGTCACCTCCAACCGACAGAGTCACCTCCAACAATGCAGAGTCCATTGGGCCCTTGGGGAACTGTTTAAGACTAACCCCGCAAGGATAAGCATTTATGTTGCATCAACCCAAATTGATGCTGGCTCTTCAGCGATGCCCAACACGCAGCTCATACCCTGAAGGCCTTCTCGACGCAGCTGTCCACGACGGCGATCTTCTTCTTCCCCTCGCGCACATAGGCCTGGCCGGTACTCAGTGCCGGCAACTGCCCAGGTCCCATCGGCCGGAGGGCCTTGCAAAAACACGCTGCAAAGGAGTGAAGAGCTGGGAGAGCATGTGGTGACTGAATCAATGGGCACTGAGGGCCTTACGCGTTGCATTCACGATATGCATGTCCGCCCCCCGTCGCCCACAAAAGCATCAAAAACAAATTGTCCAAGGGCCCTTCATGACGAACTGCATCGCCAAATGAATCCCTTGTCTGCTGCATCTTCGCACAAATGGACATCAAAAGGAATTAGCTGCTAGACCGCTACACGAAGCCTGAAGATGCTTTTGGGCCAAACCCACTAGCCATAGCAAACCAGCAGTACTCAGTACTCCGCTACCGGACAGCGGAGTAAGCTGTTGGCGATGAAAATTCGGCGGCCCTCTGGTAGCACCGGGATTGAAAGAACTGCCCTCACTGTGCCACCGTGCTGTCAGGCCAATGGTTTCATAGGACCACGTAGCAAACTCCCACCCCTCGTGATGCACGCCCCTGGTCCCGTGAAACTTGACCGTTTTTCTCACGGACGCAAACTTCATGTCATGAAGAAGGCACTTGCCTCCCCTTGGTGTTGACACCTGTTTAAATCATTAAATTGTTGTTGAATCTATCCCTTCAATTTGAAAGGAGTGTCTCAAAGGTAGCTCTACCTGATCCCATCACCGAAGCCACCAACAGATCGGTCCGTCGCGCCTCGCCCAAGGACCGCTCCCTGAGACCTTTCTTGCCGCCCTCAGGGAACCGACGGCGTTCGCCCCGGTCTTCACAGCCGTTGATGGCGGCGTGGCGCGTGAAGATTCCAAGTGACACCAAGTCGATCAAACACACCAAGCTTCACTGTGTCTGCGTGCGATTTTGTCCATGTCCAGATGGTGGCAGGGAAATCAAATGTGACTTCTTGTGGGCTCATATCTACCAATGTTATTAATATATATATATATATATCCATGTTATGCATTAATGCTCAAAAAAAATGTGTGTGTGTGTGTGTATATATATAGTATGAAGACGCCCGCTAGGCCCCCCTTTGGCGAGGCAGAAACAATGCCCAAACATGACTCTGCAAAGGAACGCCAGTGGAGCGCAGCCTACAGTTACTTCAGAGCGCAGCTTAGACTTCACCTAGGAGCAATGACGCTACTAGTAGCTCCTTGCATTACTACTAGTAACAAGAAGCTACTAGTAACAAAAGGCATCACTACTAGGAGCACGTGTTCGCCTTCCACGGTCGACCCAAATGTCACTGAGGCTTCGGGCCAGCACCTTATCCAAGCGCTCCTGGTTGGGTGGACAAACTCACAAAGGCTGTGTGAAAGACCCTTGTGGCTTGCCGAGGTCATTAACCTTAAACGACTCTTTAAGTTGGCTCGTGTTTTCGGGTCTCCAGGTTCCTTCAAAGGGTTCTGATCTGTTGAAGTCGTGGGGCTCTCCTGTCAAATGGATAACCAGTCAAAACTATGAAGACTTAACACTGTTGGTGGACAAACTCATGCACCAGCCGTCATGGAGAATGAATTAACATGTCATCATGTCAGCTGTTCCGGAGAATGAATAGTATTTCACCGTTCACTATCCATAGCATTGTTTGCATGCCCCAGGCAATACTGGAGAACTGGTCAACTTGTCTGTCAATAGTCTAACAGAATTGCTTTTGGGGATGCTGTCCTTTTGAATGTGCTCAATCAACTCTTTTCACATACTCATTGACCTTCGTCTGTCAGTCTGATCACCTCACCCATTCCCTCACTTTGTTTCTCAAGCAACCCAGAAAATGTCAAGGGGGTCTTCACCAGTTTCGAGGACCGGGCTTTCTGAAAACGGCTGGTTTCACCCCCAAAGTCGCGTCGGTTTCGGTGTCTCAACATCTCCTGGACCTTCTTATTCCGATCTGCAACCTTTGAGAAGGCCGCCTGATGTGATGTAAGGCAGGGGCGGGGTGGAAAATGGTCAACACCGGCGAAAACGAACTTTGGCTTCATGGATGTAGAAATCGTATGAAATCCTACAGGTCAATGACATCATGCCATTGGATCTTGCTATCAGAAACCTCAATGAATGGCAGCAATGGACCCCAGATAGTGGCCAGATTAGATTGGTTCGACTCGAATTGGAAGGCCATGTAGAACATTGATTTGCCTTCTCCAACTCCAGGTGCGTCCAAACTTGCATGAGATCAACCTAGCTCCCAAGTTCTGCCGGAGGCCAAACAAGTTGTGCCACGTTTTTGGCCCAATGCACGACCCCAGGTACACGTCGAGCAAGTGTCAACACCTCCTGGAAGCCCATGGACCTAGTTTGGGTTAGCAGCAGACTCTGGCTGGTGGTGTGAGGATCCAATTGTGCCTTGAGCGGTGGAACGCCCACCGTCATCTGCTTCTCCACAGACCTGACAATCGCGCAGAGACAGGAGCCGCACACGGTTTCAAGGAAGCCCAGGGGACAACTATCTGTGTTCCTTGAAAACAACCGTGTGGATGTTTTGTCAAACATTTATTTGCTGACTGTCTAATCGCACTTGTATCAAGTCAATCGTAGACATTCATGCACCTGTCCCTAAACAAGACGATTATAGTATATATGTATATATAAGTATAAGTCTTTCCGTCTTTCATAGGAACAACCTGCCCTGCGGGTACTGGTCTAGCCATTATGGCAAACCTTTGCAAATGAGGTGTTCTGCAACCCCTTGATCCCGTCCGCCCCGCCGACCACGTGTGTTCACACTGTAAAGCCCTGTGGCGTCCAATGTCAGTTTCGCTGACATACGGGGATCCCCCCAAAAAAAAATAAACCCTCGAAGGTTCCTGCTTGTATTGTGGAGGCCTGATGAGGGTACATGCTTTCAGTCCAAGGACATATAAAATCGTATTAACAACTATTGTACTTTGATTGATGTTTGAACATCCTTGTGTGCTGCCAACAAACAACCTGGGATAACCCTATATAATGTTGATGGGTCATTTGAGCAAAATGACTATCACTCCAAATGTGTATCCATGTCTACCCGCGTGACCATTATATACCTCTACTTGAGGGTCTACTCATCACCACTGAGCGCCGGGCTTCCCGGTGTTCTTGATGCTATTCTGCGCACTCACGATGGCATCTCCGAGCTCGGCGCACTCCTGATCGCACTCCCGGTCAAGAGACATGGGGTCGTCCCACGGACATTGGGTCGTCTGGTGAAAACACAAGGGAAACAAACACGGAGGAGAGTCCAGTGTTTCCAGGTCAAGATTCAGCTGGACACTTCAGTAATTAGACCTTGCTTATGATTGTCAATTTCAAGTTTACAGAGAAAACAAAACCGCCTATTCTACACAATCCTATCGATTCATCGGTCCCTACTCGTCCGTTAGGGGGAGACCTGCGAAAATGTAAGCTATATTGTCATGCTAAGATACATTTTCCTACCAATCCAACCCCCTCCTTTTACCACTCGTCGTTTGTTCGAACTCCCACTGGGCAAGTTTTAGGCATTTCCTGAAAGGCGTCAACATCTCTAATGTAAAAATTGGAGGGGACCTCCCAAATGTAGATTTAGTATGATTCTTGTAAGCTACATTGTCTACTCCCCGTCCCCCAAAAACAGGGGCGAAAACGTAAACTGATATACAGTAATATCACATTTCTGCAGGTCTATCCCGGTTTTTGTACATATCAATTCTGTCTGATCTGCTTGAGTATGACTGGCTCATGGTGGTGGATGTCAACTAGTTACCGTACATGTCATGGTTCATGTCAAACTGCGACGTCGGAAATCTCATACTCCCTGCTAGGGCATGCGGCATGGGGCAGAAGATTCCAGTGTTCCCCTTCCACCACAGGTTTGTTTGGCGCTCCGTCATTTTACAAATCCACATCAATGAGCCCATCAACTCCCCAATTAAAAGCACAACACACTGCTGGCTGTTCACACAAACCATCGGAATGGAAGGTTGCCCTACACTCTACAAGCTAGGCTCCGAATCGAAATTCTGACTGGCTCGGTGTTTTTTCTATATGATTCACTGGGATAATTGCGGAGTTTGGGCTGACCAGACTTCCTCCAAAAAACAAAAACATACATGTCCAATGGTTGAATCAGGTTGAACCATTGTGACCAATCGTGAGCAAAATCAATGTTGTCAGGAGTCGCTTTCCTTGCAAACCAAAAAGGCCAAACAAAAAAAGAAAGCGGGAGTGTCTACCCCCCAAAACCCGAGGCCTCCTGAACACGTGCGGGAACGAGCGCGCTATCCCCATGCGCTCCTCGTCCGTGGGGTTCTCCACGGCCTGCACCGGCTCTGCGAGCTTTTCCACCTTCGCCACCTCGCGGCCGCTCGCAGGTCGCGAGGGATCGATCGAAGCTGTCGGATGTGGAGATGAGAACGAAGAATGGAGATTGTTTCAGATCTGTTTGTTAAGATGTGGATGATTTGTTTGTGTTGTCGACCCAAAACAAACAGATCTGTCGCAATCTGGTCATGGAATCAGGGTTTGAGCGTGATTGAGCCGTCTACGTATTGGAAAGGGACTCACTCGTGCACACACAAGCACCACCCAAAAGCCACCACAACCAACCTTTTTCTGCACCTTTTCACTCGGCCCAAGACAAGCCACTGGCCGCGCCTCGGCTTCCGCCTTGTCCACGTTGCCCATCTCTTCTGCCAGCGCCTGGCATCAAAGCGGCGTCTGTCTGTCACACCCTCTGCGGGCACCTCAAGATCTGATCTCAGGGTCAGCAGTCAGCTTCTCCTCCAAAGCCCCTCCATGTCATTGTCACGCATGCGATGACCAGCCAGTGTGTGTGAAGATGTGTCCATCGTCACCCGACAATGGGGGTGACAACCTTTAGGTGGTCTGATTGTATAGTCAGTACACTGGTACACATGCAAAGAAAAACCATTAAAAAACCAAAACAAACATCCCTCTGTCATCCTCTTCGCACAAGCCCTTCCGCCACAGGGGCTGGGCCAGGCCTCCTTGCCCTTGATGAGTTTCTCGCCAAATGTGGAGGCCTCGTCCAACAACTCAAAAAGCAAAGACGACCCGGTGACCTCATGAAAGAGCTCAAGTGTACTGTGTACTCATGAAAGGGCGACTGATCAAGCAAGTGCCGTAATTCCACAACATGCTCTTTCATACCAAAACATTCCATATCATTCAGGAAAATCCATTATCATTCTGAATCATTATCTTTTGTTCTGGTCAAATATATCCACAGCAGCTGCATGTTCAGCCAACTCGAGGGTATTTGATCTTGGCAGGCAACTCATCTAGAATGCCTTGCAACTCCATTCAAACCAGCAAAGGAAATGAATCCAGGTGTTTGTCCCTCGTCGGGTGGACGAAAGTACTTTTCTGCTTTTCGCCGTTTGATTCTGTTTTTCTCGGGGTGATGTGGTCAAAAACTGAACACCACGGCCTCGAGAAAGCGCTGGCTTGGCTCGACGCCAAAAGCATGGCCTTCTTGTTCTTCATGAGCTCATCCGATGCAGCCTTGAGCCGTCCTGGCGGGAGGGAGGGATCCACAGGGCGAAGATCGATCGGAGATGCTCGATCCAAGATCACTCCTCCGGATGGAAAGCAAATCTGAAAGGTCACTCTTCAAAAGGTTCAAAAGAGCTTGCAAAACAAAGCAAACAAAAGTAACAAAAAGAAACAGTGTTCATACAGGTTCGCCTTGGATAGAAAGCATATGAAAGCATGTCCAAAACACATTCAAAGTGGACTCGCGGTTCTATTGTGGTTTGCAGCCCAGTGAAACCTGGTGAAGAGGGCGTTTCCCACCCCCCCGGGCAGAACAACAATGGTCCCCAAACAAGGGCCGGGCTGCAAAACGAGCCATTGTTGGACCTCTAAAATTCACGTTGATCTCCTGGGACGTTCATGCAAAGTTGGGATCTCTCACCATACTTTCAGAGTTTTCAAGTCGGTCCATCTGCGACCGACTGGGCTGTTTCTCTTTGATAGATATGGGTTGGTCAAACAGGGTCATGAGGGTGTTTGTACGTAGAGGTACACCACACGGACACACCCACGCGACGCCGGAAAGAGATCCAAACGCCATCGGGTTTTTCTGCTCCGCGAAATGGACCCTGGGGCATAGCTCGTTTGATCAATCGAAGCCTTGCAGCTTCTGCATGGCAGTCTGAGCAGTTGCGCCCTGAGCACCGTTCGGTAGGATGGTGAGGAGTGCACATCTCGGGACTTGTAGGGTGGTTTTGCTTCCACGGTTCCAAGCCATTGAACAAGAGGTCAGAGGTTTGCAGTAGGTCAGGTCTGTTCAAGGCCAAGGAACCCATGGCATCCTTCTGTGGAGTAGTGTGGAGTTCCAGATTGACCACATGCCACGGAAGCTCTTGCAGGGGATACTTTTTCTGGTCAAATGGTCGTTACACTGGCCTGAATCAAGAAATCCCTCAGTCTTGGCTTCTTCGATGGCTCGGGACAGGTGGTTCTAACCCCTTGTGCAGTAGCACCATACCGGACGATACCCCTTTTGCAAAAGGAACAGAAGTAGTTTAGTTTACATCTACCACATCCTGGTCGCAGATCTAGAACTGCTTCCCATCTAGGTCACAAAACTTGAACTCTCAATCCCCCCAATCCCTTTCATATGGAAGTCCTGGAGGTGGTGTTTCGCCCCTGGGTGATCGTGATCTCTAGTGGCGGGTGCAAGGATTCATCCAGAGTCACTGCAGCGGTTTGCGCACGCTGCACAGGGATTGCATCCATTTGGGAAGAATCATTATTTTGTCTTTTCTTCTATCAATGAGTTGTCCTAACTCCTTGGAAATGACTTAATAACTTAATATGATAATATAATATATAATATGTAACAATGAACAAAAGCTTGGCCAACCGTAGAACTTCGTAAATCTATAAATCTTGAGATTCTAGATCTTTTTCCTTGGCCCGTTTGCCATCCGTTTCCCACACCAACAGCTGCGCGAGCAGGTGTGTGGGCCGGGGGCCTTCGCCTCCTTCTGCTTGGTGGCCACCTCTTTCTTGGCCTCATGTAGCACAACAGTGGCAGGTGGCCGCAGGATGGTAGATGCTGTGACGTTCGTGAAACGTGTGTGACCCGAGTAACACAGGCATGTGTTGGTCCATACATGGCGTAGGTTGGTATTCCAACGCCACATGCTCAAATATCTCAAATTAGTGGCTCAAGACTCCAAGCCTTGTTCTGCTTTCTTTCCAAAAGCCCGTAGAATTCGACCGCAAGCTAATGACTGCGTCCCTCCCACATCGCATCGGCGTCGAGGATTGAGTGGCCTCCTGCAGCGTTGCGTTGGCATCCGTCTCCAGCTCCGGCACCTGGAAAAGAATGTGTTGGCGAAAGCTTTTGAGATGTCCTCCAAAACAATCAACTTCACTCCCATAAACAAAGACTAGAATACGGCCCCGTGGGGTCCATTACACATGACATCGTCTATACTCAGAGCTACCAATGTCCAACTCTTTGACATTTCCACCATCTTCCATCGGCTTCCATCATGATCAGTCCATGTGGATGATCTCGAAAATGTCAATGATTGGCCGAAAAATGTCTTCCCTTCCGAGGTGTTTGGCCTTTTCGGGGCAGACGAAAATCGCTCGATCTCTGTTGGCACCTTCTCCATGGCGTCCTTGATAGCCTCTTCAGTGACCTTGGAGTGGCGTGACGGGCCAGGTTAGGAGGCCGGAGCTAAAGGACCCGGCCGAACATCAAAGCATCTGATTCAAGCACTGCTTTGAATGCAACCGCTCCGATACCGGCATGCAAGGCCACAAGGGCTGGAGGAGATCATTTATTGGACGCGAAAAGGCCAGCTTGTCGGTCTTCATCTCGACTACCTTGCTAATTGCGAGCAGACCCTGTAGACCTCAAAAAATTGTTGCTTTGTGGCCCTCTATATGCTGTAGACTCTACTTATCTTGACTTGCAGCAGCACACATCGGTTGACCTTCAGGGTTCATCAACCCAGAAGTGGTGGCAACTCTGTTCAGGAGTGGCAAGCGTGGAAGATCCCCCTCAAAAGGCCGTAGCCCCTCACAAAAATGGTTGCAGTTAAATCTATTCTTTAAAAGCCATAGTAATATTCTTAAGGATCTTCGGGCAACCCTCAACTCTCAACAACAACATTGGTGGGGCAGACACATGGCAAACCAAATCTCCATTGTGGACAGTCGACAAAAAAAGAAACCAAGAAAGCCCCCCCCACCATGAACCTGCAGGGTCTACAATCTATACCCTACAGGAGAGTCATGATTCAATTCTATTCACACAGAATCTGTCATCTTTCGGTGGGAATCCACTCACCGCGTTGTTGGGGATTCCCGGCGCTGTTCAGGTCCTCAGAGAAGACCTTGGCGACCTGGAGAAGAGGAAATCGACGCAGAAGTTCCGTCTTCAGTTCTATATAAGTGCCCCTCGCTGGCGCCAGCGGAAGATCGGTCTCATAGGATAAACGGACTAAGGCCTGTCAACATGAGGCCAAGGGGAGGAGGTCGAAAGCTAGCGGAAGCACACTGGCGGTTTCTCCACCGCGCTGCGGTCGTTGAGGTCAAAAAAGCAGAACCAAGCAGCAGCATCAACCAGCAGCAGCAGCAGCAGCAGGCAGCAGCAAAGGCAGCAGCAAAGGCAGCAGCAAAGGCAGCAGCAA